GCGCGTCTCGCCGCTCTCTCTCTCTCTCTCTCTCTCTCTCTCTCTCTCTCTCTCTCTCTCTCCGCAGCGGGGCGTTGCAACGGGTTGCCAACTTAGCCATCCAAACCGCACCAAGATTATCTTGTTGAGCCCCATCGACTGCCAGACCTCAAGCCTCCAGCCCACCGCGTGATCCCCAATTTACAATGCAGACCCCGTCTCGCACTCGCCGTTCGAGGTTTCGGGTTTACAGTGCCCCAAACGACTCGGATCGATAACCGCTTCGATCCTATCGAAAGGGCGTCAACCCGGACTGCCACTGGGTCGGCTCCCTGGCTGTTTGACGAAACGAGAAAAGTGGTTCGAGTATCCATCGGCAGCACCATCACGGCCCATCCATCCTCGGGTCTCGGAGCGCCGATGCAGATGCAGAGGCGAAATTGGCCACAGCTTCGAAAATTCGATGGATGTATAAGTGGATGCCACGAAGATAGCAACACCATGAGTAAAAGGCGATTCGAATCAATCACTTCAGCACCACACCTCCACACGAATCACTCACAGACACCAGACGTCCACGCCGGTTTCCGGCTGCTACTGTCTTTGTCTCTCTCTCTCTCTCTCTCTCTCTCTCTCTCTTTCTCTCTCTCTCTCTCTCCCTCCGGTACGGCCCGGCCCGCCACACCGAGTGACCTCCGCCGGCACACCTGGCCAGCGAAGGCCGGCCCAGCCAGCCGCTCAGCCGCTGCGGGTCCTAGGGCACTCCACTGCACCGCGTGTCCCCGCTGCGCAACGCACTGCACCGCAGCCTGCACTCTTTCACGACGATCGCACCTCTTTTCGTACAAGTTTCTGCGACATCAGCCATAACGGTTGATGCATCAATAACGAATACTTACGCGTCGACGATAAAATACTGAGGCAGTCTTTTTTTTACTGTTGCTTGCCAGCCCGAGACATCCCCTGCCCTCACTGAATGTTTTAATTTCGGTCGAGATCGAAACGGGGGAGGGGAGGCCCTTACCTCAGCCTGTCCCGTTAGCCCTTTACCTGCTACCTGCCCCCTAGGGCGCGGCCCTTATCAACTCAATACCCCCCCCCTCCTTCCCCGCGGCGGCACCGCGTCGAGGCGTCACAGCGCGTACCTGGCGCGACTCAAGGCCGCAAAGGGTTGCCGGGCCGCGCAGGGCCGCGCCGGGCGTGGGCGGACTAGAGCCCCACCTCGAGCCCCACTCCGGCCGGCCTGGGGCAGCCCGGCTCAGCCCGCCTCCCTGTTACCTGGCGGCCCGGCTCGCAAGCACGCCAGTCCACACATTTTTTTAAGGGCAGTTTTTTTGTTGTTGTCGTTTTCTTTTACAATCAATTTTTTAAATAAAATTTTGACTTTTTACTGTAAGGAAAAAACATGTTGCAAGTTGTGTCTGCGGAATGAGGAGAGTTCAAAGCGGCAACGCTGGCTCCGGTTGGGTCCACACCGTCCACACAGCCACGCCAAGATACACACACACACACTCACGCACACATACGCACACACGCACAGTCGCGTCCGCCCCCAGCGCAGCGCGCCGTGTCGCTCTGAAGGTCCCCAGCCGCTCCGCCACACCGCGACGGGCACCGCCGCCGGAGCACCCACACACGCACACACACACACACTCATGTTGACATTCCCCCCTCTCACTCACACACACACACACATCGTCGTCACGGAAGCTGCGAACAAAAGCAGCGGTGGAGCAGGTGCCTAACGACACAGAACACGTCATCTGCGTGCGGGGCGCGCAGCACGCGGGCCGCCATCCTCGAGTACAAGATGATGACGACGACGACGAGGGTGACGATGCTCGATTCGAGCGGCGGGCGTGCTCCAAAGCTTTGCGTCGTCGTCGTCGTGGAGGCAGTGTGGCGGCCATAGCAGGGGACCAACAGCACTCCTTTTACACTGTATGGAAATGAAAACGAATCTGAATGTATCGAATGTGACGCGCGAGCCTCACAAGGCCTCCCTGCAGGCATGAGGCGGCGTTGTGTGTGTGTGTGTGTGTGTGTGTGTGTCGCCCGGACTGGGGTGGCCTTGTATGGCGCGCCACGGTTTGGCCGGCTCGCCGCCCCGCGGCCCACTCGCCTTGCGAAAGTGCGCCATCGCCGCACACATTCACATTCACGTTCGCGTTGTTGTGCGCGCCGCCACACTGTCTCTGTCGCACTGATGGGGCTCTCCGTAAGGGTTCGAGAGAGACAGAGCTCGCGACGGAAAGTGAGAAGCGGCCGAAGACCGCAACCGCACAGCGCGCGCGCGTTTCTGTCCTTTTCATGCCTCCTCCCCTCTCTGCCCCTTTACCTACCTCCCCCTCTTCCCTACTGACACGGAAAAATGCAGGGCGACAGCCGTCCTGCGAGGGATTGAAATTGGAAAGCCAGGAAACAACAGTACGGTAGTATTCAGTAAGCTTTGCTGCATCGAATGGCTGTGGTGAGATTGTTTGAAAATCGGCAGCGCCTCGCAGCAGCGACCACAATGACCACACAGACACACACAGACACACACAGTCACACACAGCGCGCAAGACAGCGGCCGCACTAGATTAAACGGCAGTGTGGAGTAACTCAACTCAGCAGCTCTGGCAAGCTGGCAAGCGTCCTGTGGGGCACGGCGGCCACGGCGGTCGCACGAGGCGGAGTGGAGTCCATGGGAAGGCGACCTCTGGCAGGCCGCGGGGTGGCCGCGGGGTGGTCGTACCGTGCGGGGACGACGCCACCCCTGTCGGCCACCACACAGGAGGGCAGAGAACCTGCTGTCACATCCCCGTTCCTCCACAGCGACGCAGAGAGCCTTTCTTCCCTGTCAAGCAGCTGGTGGTTTGGGCGCGGTCCCCGCGTGCAGCCTATCTAGGTCCGCGAAGGGCCGCGCGATCCCACAGGGCATGGCATCGGACTCGGCTAAGCTCGCTCCGCGAACCATGGAAATGTTTGTCTCTATCCGCAACATCGGCGACATCGGGACAGAACAGGATCGGGTCGCTATCGGCTCGCGCTACCAGACGGCCAGCGCTAACGGCAAGGCGCGGCACGGCACGGCACGGCGGGGTCAAGCGGCAGGGCAGGGCACGGCACGGCAGTGCACGGGGAACCTGCAGGGAACCCGACTCACGTCCGACATCGAAATCATATATACAGCGGCAGGCAATTGCCCTTTCCAGGAAATTGCGCCACCAGCTTTGACGAGGGCTGGCCGAGGGCCGGCCGGCCAGGCTGTTAAGGCGCGTGCCCCGTGTCCATGTCACGGTGCAATGCCAGATAAATGGGAGCGCTGGGAGGGGGAGGGGCGTCGGTGCATCCTTTGCCACGCATCCCCGCGTTCATGGCAGCGTTCATGGCAGCGAGTCCGGGAGTCCGGGCGGACGCACAAGGTGTTCCGCGAACTTGCAGCCGAGGCGTTTCGTCGCTCTGTCTCTGTCGCACTCATGGGGCTCCCCGTCGGGGTGCGAGAGAGACAGAGCGACGGAGTCAGTCTGCAGTCAGCGAACCGCGTGACCGATGAAGTGACCCCGCCGGCTCCGTGATTGCTGTGGCGACAAATGAGAGAAGGAACGAGAGTGGGCGCACGAAGGAGAGGCCGTGATCTACCGTACAGTGCCGTGCAGCTCGCCGCGGCACGCCGTGGCACGCCACAGCACGCGTGCGGACGTGACGTGACGTAAATGGTCTGCCCCTAACGGGGCTCGAACCCGCGACCGACCGAACGGCCGGCCAGCCGGCCAGCCAACCGTACCTGCTTCGCGCTGCTTCGAGCTGCCCTTTCTTGCACTCCTTTGCAGCAAGTAATTGAAGCGGTCTCATTAACCTGCTATCGGTGGTGGAGCCCCGCCCCGCCCCGCCTCACTCATTGTCTCGCCTTACGTAACTGGCCGACCTAGCGTCTCGCGTGACAGGGCCGGCAGGGCGTCGCGTTCGGAAAAGCGATAAAAGCCGCTGGTGGCGACACGCTGGCCGCGGGAAAGGCGGGGCACCGCGGGCCGCGTGTCGGGATTCGAACCCGGGTCACTCGCTCTCCGGGTCAGCGCGCACACAAGGCGGTCACGGCGCAGTCTGATTCCGAGAGCCGTTTCCATCGCTCTGTCTCCCCACAGTGTGGGAGAGGCAGAGCGACGAAAAAGACTCCCAGTGTGCAGCTGGGCTGGCAGGCCTACAAGGCGGTGGTTGTCACGGCGGCGGTGGCTGCAGTGCGAAGCGTGATGTGACAGCCCGCCGGCCCATTCGACCGTTTGGCGGCACCACGCCACCGCGCGGTGGCTGATGTGAACGGAGTGACAGCCACCGGGTGCCGGCGGCCATGCCGTCGCTCTGTCTCTCTCGCACTCATGGGGCGTCCAGTACAGGTGCGAGAGAGACAGAGGAGGGCCCAGTCAGGGCAGCACGACGCCCCGGCGGCTGCAACATGAACGAAACGACAGCCACTACTAGTGTGCCCGCTGGCTGGCTCCGCTGGCCCATTTGACCGTTTGGCGGCACGACGCTGCCACTCGCCCGCCAGCAAAGCGTGTCTCACTCCGGACAGCACTTTCGACGGCCTGTCTCTCTCGCACCCTCGCGGAACGCCCCATGAGCGCGAGAGAGAGAGGGAGAGGCCCCCCGTTCGGAATCAGTCTGCAGGGGGCAGCAGCGCCGTCAGTGACAAGTGAAAGCAACAACTGTCAGTCAAGTTTTAAGTCGTTATCCACGCGGTTGGTCCGACGCTGGTTAGAATCTAACTAAGGCTTACTAAGCGAACTTTTGACAGCAAATTTTCTTCTCCCTGCCGTCACGATCTCCTCATCACAGCAGCGGGCTCCTTCAAAAAGTCAGTCAGAGGGTGGAAAAATCAACCCCATGATAAGTATTAAATAACGCTCGTTTTCTTAAATAAACCTTTAAAAAAATCTAGTTTGAAAAAATAAAAACAAGCTGTAGGATGAGTAGTTTAAATTGCACAGCTCGCGCGATATATAAATGATAAGATTTCTCAGGTGTTTTTCTGAGCGTACCTTTGCTGGTCTCCGCGCAGAGCGCAGGCCGCGCCACGAGGACGACGGCGAGGACGGCGAAGAGCTCCCTTAATCCAATCATGGTGTACGGGCGCACAAAAAGAAACTCACGTGTCACTCACACTCACACACACACACACTGGCACTGACACTGCTCGAATTTTCTTCCCCTCGGATGTTACCGCCTTCTGCTGCGACTGGAGGAGGTCGCTCTCCGTCCCATGCCCGCGGCGGGGAAGCACACAGGGAGACACTGGTCCGGTTAATCCACTGGAAAATGGGGGGGGGGTCACGGCGAACGTGGGTGGAGACGCGCGCGGCGCGGCGGCCTGGGGTACACGCGCGGCGCCGTACAGGTGAGAGCGCGGCCGCGGTCGGGCCAAGACTGGACTGGCTGCGGCTGGCTGCGCTGTGCCTCTCCGGCGGCGCGGCGTGGCTCAACCCGCTCCCCGTCCCCCGCCCCCGGCCCGCCGCCGCCGCCGTGCCCACACCTAGCCGACAATCGGACCCGGTAGGACCCAGCCGCACAGTGGGCCAGAAGACCGGCGGGGGCGGCCAAAGCTCTAGACGCGTTTCGAGCTCCAGAGTCGCTAAGCAGGACTCGAACCGAACGTGTGACCCCACCAATGGATTCCTCGTTCGGAGAGCAATCCATTGGTGGGGTCGCACGCCCGGTTCGAGTCGCATTTAGGGACTCTGCAGCTCGAAACGCGTCTAGAGCTTCGGCCGCCTCCACCGGTCTTCCGGCCCACTGTGCGACGAGCACCGACGAGGCGGGGGGTGGGTGAAATGGACCAGCCGCGCCGCACTCCGGAACAGTGAGCTTTGGTCGCTCTGTCTCTCTCACTCTGGCGGGGACGGCCCGCGAGTGCGAGCGAGACAGGAGGCACGGCGACGGCCGCCTCGAAGGTTGACGGGTGTGAGTCCTTCGTCACGACGGCGGCGGCGCGGCGGTCGGAACGGTCCGAACGACCATGACGCCTCCATGTTCGAAGCAACAAAGACGCGGCGGGGTGGCCCGGGTCAAGCCGCACGCTGCGGTGCATGCGTGTGTGTGTGTGTGTGTGTGTGTGTGTGTGTGTGTGTGTGTGTGTGTGTGTGTGTGTGTGTGTGTGTGTGTGTGTCCGGGGGGAGGGGGAGGGGGAAGGAGTACCCGAAGTGCCCCGAGGGCGCGGTAGGGCCTCTGACCCGGCCCCGAGCGCCGGCTAAACGGTTTGGGTGCCGTGGGTACGTGCCGGGACTGCCGGACTGCCTGCTCCAGAAGCGGCACTTCGAGAGAGGTAATTGCTGCACTAATTTAAGAGGGTGTTACTTGCCCGTCGTCGGGGGTGGGCCTGCGCCGGCCTGGGGCCCACTTCTCGGAAAAATAACACGACTCCTCCCTAGTCAGCAAGCAGACTGATTCTGAGATTCGATCTCGCCGTTCTGCCCCTCTCGCACCCACAGTGGACGCTTGGCGTGAGTGCGGGAGAGACAGAGCGGCGGATAGGACTCTCAGAACCAGTCTGCAGACCGCGTTTCGGCGCGGCCCCCGTGGAGGTCCGTGGACCTCTCGGAATGCGTGGGGGTGGACGGCGGCGCGCGGCCCCCACACCGTCAGAGTGTTTCCCCCGGTTTACCCGGAGCGGCCCGGCCGTCGCGCCGTTTGACGCAACACCGCGACATCGGCGCGGCCGGCCAGCAGGCTTTTGTCTTTGCCTCGCTCTGCTCTCGCACGTCTCGCACCCACGAGGCCCCGTCGGGGAGTCAGGCAGCCTGCAGCCGGCCGGTGGGTTCGGCCACTCGCATGACACTGTCGTGCCGGCGGCGGCCGCCCGAACCCGCACTTACCTTTGCACCAAATGACTCCTTTTTTAGCGTTGCACAAAAGTGGGCCCCGCGTCCCCGCGGCGCCATTCGCCCGACTCTCCTCACGAACGCGTCCGCGGACGGACGAGGAGACGCACCGGAAGCTAAACACAGCGCTTCGCTTGCGTGCGTGCCGAGTTTAAGTTGCCGCCGCGGCGTCTCTCTCGCACCCCTGCGGGACGTACGGGTCGCCCCGCGAGTGCGAGAGAGACAGAGCGACGAATGCACTGCTCAGCCCGCCGTCGCGTTCAGAAAACGTAGGCGTGCCTCGACCCCTCCTTGGAGCCGGCGGCCGAGCAGAGAAATGCCTGGCCGGACGTCTGAGAGAGAGAGAGAGAGAGAGAGAGAGAGAGAGAGAGAGAGAGAGAGAGAGAGAGAGCGTGCAGTCATTATTTTATTTCGTAAATTCGTCGATACAATTAACGCGCCGTTTTTCTACGAAGGGCAGGAAGCGGCGCCGCATTGCAATTGCGTTTCGCGTCTCGCGGCCTTTGCTATAAAGTAGGCCGAAGAGGCCGGGGTGGCCGCCGCCGCCGTGCCTTGCCGCCGCGGTCCCAGACCGCCAGGCCCGCCAGGCCACAGAGAGGGAGAGAGTATAAATTGAATGCGGAGACAAGGCGCGCAGGGGGAGGGGTTCGGGAATAACTTAATAAATCTTCAATTGTGCTCACGTGTGGCGCGGGGGGCGGGGCGTGGCGGGGGCATGCGCATGCCTTCCTTCCTATAGCTCACCGCGAGGAACATGATCTACGCAAATGAAGCCGTTTCACTCGGAACTAGTCCGCCAATATGGAGAGGCGTTTCCGCGCTACTCGTATATTCAGTTAAGGTGATGGATAAAAGCGCCATTCCCATTCCCCCCACCCTCCCCTTTTTGCTCGTGCTGCGGCCGAGGGCTTTCTTCGAAATTCACCTGCGGCGCCTGCGGCAGCGCGATCAACTTTTTATCTGAAAGTCAAAGGCGTGCACTGTTGCTGTTGCCATTTTGTTTTTGTATTATTATTTTTTTTCACTCTTTTCTCAAACTGCCCCCATTAAAACACAGGGTGACAAAGTGGCCGCGACTGCAGCCTTTGCCTGCCGAGCGCGGTTCTCATGCCGCCGTGCTGCCGGCGAGGGCGCCCAAACGAGACAACCGTTTACGCAAGGACAGACAAAGACTAGCGGCCGCAGGACACATCTCCCTGGCCTTCCCGGAAAGCCGTTGCTGATAGGGGGCCGTCTGCAACGGACGCGCGTCTCAACCGGAGTGGGGTGGAGCCAGGGGCAGGGCGCTAAAGAGAACACGGTAGCCAAAATAACGCAAAGTTTTGACGTCGAAGTGGAACCCCGTGTTGATCGAAGTCAACCGTTTGCAGGTTATGTCGACATAATTTTGGCTTATTCTGTTCTTTTTGGGGTGTCTAGACATCATTGCAGCAGTTTGATTCACTTCGAAATTCCCTCCAATAGCCATCATACGCAAACGTAACACCTGAAAAAGACAGCGGCATTTCGTTTCGCTATTACTCTTCGCCTCAGGTCGGGCCACGAGGTTTCCGCGCGGGCCCCGGGCCGCGTGCGCCCTGACTTGCCGTGTTGTGATATCGTCGACGCTCAATCTGTCGTCGTGAGATGTGTTGCCGCGCTCCGGCAAGTACCTCTCGCTGCCTCACTCGTGACTCTTCCGCATTTTGTGTGCATTATGGAGTCTGCGGTGGCGGCGGTGGCGCGTCCCGATCGCAACGGTCGCCCCGTTCCCGCGCTCCCGCGCAAATTTTGAGGTTATCTGCGCGCGCAAATTCGAAATCGCGTATTTGTTTACCACAAGCTCGGCGCTCGCTCCGTCCGAGGCAATCTGTCGCGGGCAATAACACACACTCGCTTCGGATTGAGCCGCGGCCTTATGAGCCCGGGCCCGCTACGTTGTTTATAGTTTTGTTTCGGACAATAAAGGGAGTCTAACGGCGCGGCCGACACGTGTAGACGGAACGGGCCGCGTGCGCCGTCCGCGGCGCCCGCGCGCTCGGTCTCTCAGGGCCACAATACACCGTGTGCTCGGCGTGCACCGCGACAGGTAGTCTCACGCGTGTCCCGTGTCACCGGTGCAATTCTATTGTGGGGGGCATTCTATTCGGACGCCGCCGTGGCGCGGCGTCGCGGCGTCGTGGCGCCCCCCGTCTGGAATATGACCATTATTGAGCGAGCACAGTGCATGGAGCGGCTCATACACTCACTCGCTCGCGCACACTCACACACACACAAGCAGGCAGGCCCGCAACGCTAAGCGGCGGCTTCCGTTTCCATGGTTACCGTCCGGCCGTCTGCTCATCGCAGCTGTGCAGCTAATTAGGCTTACGGAATAGAGAGAACACTGTTGGATGGAGATTTCAACGCGCGTGACCCGCTGAGGCCGGACTCGCTGCGTCTCTCTCGCACTCACGGGGCGCTGCGGGAGAGACAGAGGCCCTGGTCTTGTCTTGTCCGAGCTCATCCGTGCCGAAAGGGAAAGGACGCCACACAAAAAGTCTGTCCACGGTCACGCGTGGCGCGGCGCGGCGTCGACGCCCCGTGGACACAATGTCGGGCCGAAAAAAAATTGAAGGAAGAAATTGACAAAAGGTAAGGACAGGGCGGAGGAAATCGAAAATTGGAGGGGGGAATGACCTGGCGGACGCGTCGCGACGCCGTAAGCACGAGGTGGACGCGCTGCTCCGGGTCCAGGGCGTCGCGGCTGCAGCCCCAGTTGGATCGGGCAGGCCGAACAATTTCTCAATCTCTGCGCCGCCGAGCGGGCCGGGCGTGGCGTGGCGGGCGGGGCCCTTGCACACGGCACCTCACCTCGTGACTTCCGCCTAGAGCGCCAAGTAAAGTACGGGGGGCGCCGGGCATAGCCAGGCAGCAGCAGCAATTCCCTACCTACGGAAAATCCAGGCGCTCGTCACTCACTGCAGTGCCCTGCGGCGGGGAGGTTCAGGGAAATCTGCGAAAAAAATGCAGGTGGACTGCACTCCTAGATTGGACCGACGCGTCCTGTAAATAGATGGAAAGCCGAGGCCGGCAAGACCAGAGAGCAAGCGCAGCTAGCAAAGCCTGCTCGCTTCGCGTCTTCGCGTCGCTCCGGCTTGACGGACTTGGAACGGGCGTCGTTTCGACCACCCATTTCTCTGGCCGTTCAGCGCGCTCCGCTGCGACGTCTCGCAATCCGTCTGCGTTGTGGTCGAGCCTGCTGATGTGATATATCGCGGCCCGGCCGGGGCATGGGGCGGAGGGGAGGCACCTGGGGACAGCTCTGGTCTCGGTGCGCGCAGTGCGGCGCAGTGCGCCATCGCAGCCATAGCGCGACGGCACGTTGTTGTCAGGCATACCAAAAAGGTCAGTCAAGGCAGCGGCGGGGCTCGGCGAGAGGAGAGGCGTACACCGCTGGCTGCAATCATATTTTACCTTGGACGTTCGAGCGGCGAGCGTTCGAGGGCTCGTCTGCTACCACGCCCCGCCCCGCCCCGCCCCGCGCGGTGTCGTGATCCGAGACGGCAGCCCTGCCCGAACCGTATCGACAAACCGCTTGCCCTTCCTCTTGCCCTCCTCCAAGGCCCTGGGGATGCCGAGGTCCATTCCGGACACAATGAAGCCATCATGTGCAACAGTCGAACCCCCTCCCCCTCCACTCGCAATGCCAAGGCAATGCCATGGATATGATGATTCCGTTCAAGCTATCGTCCACTGCCATCTCCAACGAGGCTGCAGTCGTGGACGGCACTGCACTGCCATTACGGACCGTCCGCGAAACCACGTGACCCGGGTACGAACCCTCCGCCTGCAGTGTGTCCAAGACAACAAAGGGGATAGGTACACGGGGAAAGAAGACTGCGGCGTAGGTCAAAGAGTTTTGTATTTCGTTTGTTAAAACCATCGACACGGGTATGACAACACTGAAAACAAGATTTAGTTCGGTCGGTCGGCGTTCTTGCCGTCAGTTCATGGTAAGGACCAAATCACTTCGACAAGGTAAGTGTGCATAAATTAGAGGGCTTCACTATTTCGTTAGTCAGACTTGGTCGGTTGGCGTGGCGCCTCGCGGCGTGACGCTCCGTGAGGCGGTGAGCACAATCTCGCGAGAATGAACCAATTTCGCTTCCAACTTGAATCCAAACGAATTAATTGTACACAGAAATAGAGCCAAATTGGCATGGCTTCCGCCAGACATGTTTCCTGGAGGAGACGCCACGCAGCGAAGACGCCGTGACAGAAGTACAGTTCCCACTCACACACGCGCACACACACACACTCAATAAAAACACAAAACACGCACACACGATCATGCACACACATTACAAAATACACGCAAAGGGGTTCAATATTTACAATGAATGACTATCACAAGCAGAGCTTTGGAGACTAACCCTCTAAGTCGAAGAGGTTAGGAAGACCCTGTACTAAAACCGCGGCCAGGTGGCGGCGGTGACGTCACCCTTGCGGCACTACACCAGTAGTTGCAATCCGGGAACAGAAAACGCCCCGCGTCTCGGCAACACATTAGAAACATCACATTCAGATTGGCCGTCGACGCGATTCACGTCCACATTCGCATTCACAGCCGTTGGGCCGCCGCGCGACTCATTCCGGCCTTTGTTGTCGAGGCGAGGCGGCGAGGCGGCCAGGATGAAGGGGCCGAGCGGCGCGGCCCGGGGCGAGGCGCCAGTGGCCACCAGTGGCGTGGCGGCACCTCAAGGACACGTCTCAGCGTCTCAGCGGGCTAGTGTCCGCGGGGCGGGGCGGGGCGAGCCAGGTGCAGACTCATGACAGCGCGACGCGGCCGGCATGTGGTTTCCCTTCGTCTCGCCCGGCCCGCAGCCCAGCCGTCGTGAGCAAAACAAAGTGTGAGCTGGCCGCTGCAGCTGCTTTCGGTCGTTCCAGCCACTTCCAGGCCGCCGAGGCCGAAAAAGAGGCCCTCAGGCGGCGCGGGCCGCGAGCAGCGCCACGCCGAGCGCCACGCCGACAGTGGACCCCGCGCCGAGGACCGCGACGGCGCCGCCGGTGAGCGCGTTGCCCGCCAGCCCCGCGGGCAGCATGCGGCACTGGGAGCGCCGCCACCGACGCACGCTGCCGCCGGAGTCCTGCGCCAGCACGCACAGCTCCAGGGAGTCGCGGCGCGCGGCCTCGGCGGGCAGGTCGGCCAGCGAGTAGGCGCGCGCCGTGTAGGGCAGCACGCGCTGCAGCACCACGCTGGGGTCGCGCGGCTCCGCCAGCTCCGCCTCCACCTCGAGACCGTCCTCGGCCTGGTCGGGCGGCGTGGTCGCGGGCTGCTCCTGCAAGACAAACACGAGTTAATCGCTTTTCGTCATGGTTGGCGTTCTGCCGGTGGCGGCGCAACCAGTACGCTGGTCTCTCTCGCACCCCTGCGGGACGCCACGTGAGTGCGAGAGAGAGGGCCACAACGCTCTATTGGCAGGACGCTGCAGACGGGTCTGCCAATAACGATAATCACCTTGTCGGCGGCCGCTGCAGCCACCCCGGCGCCGTCCGAGGTGTCCCGCACCACGAGCAGGAAGTCCGCCACGTCCTCGTTGGTGGTCACGTACCAGGAGACGGCCACCGCCCCCTTCGCGTCCCTGCAGGCCAATCACAGGGTTAGGGAGCGTTCGATGAACCCGATGCCTCCACACAATCGATATATCGATTTGCAAATGACCCCCGCGCTTCGATTTGGGCCGGCCGACCGAATGCACGTTCATTAAGAAGAAATTATACCCGGCCAGCTACTTCCAGTGGCGTGCATTCGCGTGCATTGTTGCGTATGGTTTATCTTATCGTTCCGCTGCGCTCTGATTCAGGGAACCCCATTCTATCGTCAAGCAATCAGCCAGCAGCGCCAGCAGCCAAAGCGCTCCACTGAATTCTGAAAACGGCGGCAAGCGGGCAAGCGCGCGAAAAACAAAAGAAGGCGCACCGCCGCGCGGGCCAGTGCAGTGCCAAGGCAGTGCGGTGCCGCGACCAGCCGACCGATTCCGAGGGAGCCGTTTCGTCGCTCTGTCTCTCTCGCACCCCAACGGACCGCCCCACGAGTGCGACGGAGACAGGGCGATGCAACGGCTCTCTCGGAATCGGTCCGCAGATTAACGCAGAACAATGAGCGGGGCCACGCCCGCACCTGCGAAGCCTGCGCGCCGCACTACCGGCTCATTCCGAACGGGAACGAGGCGTGTCGCTCTGTCTCCCTCGCACTCTGGGGGGTCTCCGTAAGCCGCGAAGCCGCCCTGCACTGCCTACCCACCAGGCGCCGCACAGTGGGCCAGAAGACCAATGGAGGTGGCCAAAATCTCGGAGGTGTTTCGACCCCCACTTCTGGCCCACTGTACGCCCCAGCGGTGCCCGCCCACCTTCGCGGATCCCCCGCGCCCCCCACGGGAAGTATCCCAGGGCGATTACCGTGTACGACAGCGGGACCACCGCACCGCACGCGAGCGCACGCGAACGCACGGGATGCCGCACCGCCCACTGCAGCGAAATGTGGCCGGGCCGTGATGGGAGGCTTCCGAGGCGATGCCCCTCCTGCCCTTGCCCCTCGCGCACCGGCACGGTTACGGTAACGTGCCTGCAGCCCGCCTGCAGCCCGCCTGCAGATGCTGGTGAAGCGTGTGATGTCGGACGGCGTGTTCCTTAATTAACGGCCCGGCCGGACGACCGCAATGATGACGACGACGATGACGATGGCGGTCTCGGAGGGGTCGAAATAGAGCACGTCGCCGTTCGCACCGGAGCAACCGCATCGTCAGGGGAACGCTCGCATTTTCAGATTTCCGCATCGTCCGCCCACAGGCTGCGGCGCTGAATCCGCTGGTCTTCTGGCCCACTGTGCATCGCCAGGGAAGTCTCGGCCGGTACGCCGCCGTCGCGTCACCACGGGTGAGTGCCGCGGCAGTCATCCGGAAACCGATGCCGCCAATTATTGCCCTTCATGGTCCGGCCGGCCCGGCTGCACCCCCTCGTCGGCGAGCCGAGCGGCGGGCTCATGTCAGCGGGCCGCCTCCGCACGGCAGCGCTTTCCTCGTCGCGCTGTCTCTCTCGCACCCACGGGGCGCTCCCCAGGGGTGCGAGAGAGACAGCAGCCCGACGAGGCCCTGTCCGGCTCGGCACTGCGAGCGCGCTCCCGAACCCTGCCCTGGATGTATAATGCAGGCAGCATATAGTTGCCGTCGAGCCGCGGCGCAGAAACAACTGAATGATGATGACCGTGATGACGGTGTGCGCGAAGCACTGCGGAGCACGGTGGAGCACCGCGGAGTGGACGAGGGCCGCCTTCGAACTGTACCGCCGGCCGAGGCAGTGGCGGAACCAGGGGCCGTGCGGAAACGCTGCACTGAAGCTCCATTCGGACACCCTTTGAGCCCCGTGCGGCTGCAGGCGGTCCGTGCGACGAGAGCGAGGGAGTTTAGGGTTTTCCCCCCTTTTGGACTACGTGCCGAGCCGCTGGCGCGGGGTGCGGGCGCACGGGGCTGGGTGGGCTGGTGTCTCACGGACGGCCCCAGTGCCCCGGGCCGCGGGCCGGGCTGCGCACTGAGGAGTGTGTTTTGCGTGGTTGGCTCCGCCGTGGGCCCCGCCGCCCCGCGCCCCACCACCGTGGTTCCGCTCGGCGGAGGCTTTTATTCAACGCCTACGAGAATGACTTAAGGGTTCTTTTCTTCTTCCGGCCCGCGCCCCGCCACCGCGCCCCGCCACCGCACCCCGCCACGCCTCGCGGGCGTCGCCGTCGCGGGGCACTACTCCATCCGCGGGGGCCGCGCGGCGGGGCGCGGTGGAGTGCGGCGGCAGGGCGCTCTTAAACTTGGTGCTGCACCGTTGCCGGCGTTGCCCCCATGCAAATGCGTGCCGGAGCGTGGCTGGACAAATACGCGGCACCGGACAAATTATACGAAACGCCACCCAACGCACCGCGGCACCGCGGCGACGGCGCATCTGCTTAGCGGAAGTAGCCAGGCAGCCAGAGCCATTGGGGCGCGCTGGCCTCCGCGACGACCTCCCCGACGGCCAGGGGCAGCCCGGGGTCTGTATGGTAACGGTGTCGCCCGTTTGTTCCCTGGAAGTGCCGAACCGGCTCGGTGCCCCGCGGCCAACATACCTCTTGATTTCCCTGAACTTGAGGTCGGGGCTGATGTCGAAGTCCGGGTCCTTGGAGGCCGGGTCGGCGGGGTCGCAGACCAGGCGGTCCTCGGCCACGTCGACGAGGGCCTGGCCCGCGAGGAACTGCGGCTCGGCGCAGCGCACCGCGCCCCACCACGGCAGCGTGGTGGCCTGCACGCCCAGCCAGTGGCGCAGCGGCCGCGACACGCACGAGCACTGGAACGGGTTGTCTGCAACAGCCAAGTCAACAGCCGAGCGCGCAGCGAGTTGGATCAACAGTGCAGAGGTCCTGGGTTCCAATACTAGGATCGGAAGGTTTTGTTTCCGTGCGCGGGGGTCGCTCAGTGGGCCAGCAGACCGGCGCACTCACCCTCGTATCTGAACTCGGTGCCGTTCATGAGCAGCGGCAGGAAGCGGCGGTGGAAGGCGGTGACCTCGTTGGCGCGCACGTCGAGCACCTGCAGCCCCGGACGCAGCGCGGCCAGCGAGTCGCCGGGCACGTCCACGAGGCGGTTGCCGCGCAGGTAAAGGTGCGTCAGGTTGCGCGGCGGACGGAAGCCGGCGGCGCCCTCGGACAGCGTCACCAGCTCGTTGTGGGACAGGTCCAGCACGCGCAGCGCCGTCAGGTTGCCCACCACGCCTGCGGGGGACCAGGATCACAGTGGCGGTCAGGTTGTCTGTCTCTCTCGCAACCTCACGGCACGCCCCGTGAGTGCGAGACGCAGCGCCCGGCACCACGACAGCCCGCCGGCCGCGCGAGCAGGAAGGGCTGCCTAGCGCGCCGGCGCCGCGGTGCGCGACGCGGAGGCCGATGGGTTGCCAGCTCGCCGGGCGGCGCGCCCGCAGCGGACTGACTCGTCGCTCTGTCTCTGTCACACTCAAGGGCGCCCCTGATTGGTGCGAGAGAGACGAAAGCGAGTCTCTCTGCGGCACCCACCTTTACGGATCTCGTTGATCATGTTGTGGCTCACGTTGAGCACCTCCACCTTCTTGGTGCCCACGGCGAGGTCGTGCGTCAGCACGGGCATCACGTTGTGGCTCAGGTCCACCTCGCGCAGCCGGTACGGGATGTACGGGTTGCTGGGGAACGTCTTCTTCGTCACGAAGGAGATCTTGTTGTGGCTGAGGTTCACCTGCGGGCCGGCAGAGCAGTGCGAGTGTGAATGAGGAAGCACGGGACGGCAGACTTGCGGCGTTGGTTCGAAACTGGGTCAGTAAACGACAACAATCATCGGCAAGGGCAGCGGGAGGAAGGAGGCCTCACCCGCTCCAGCGACAGGCAGTCGTCCAGCAGGCCGTGCGTCTTGTTGTCCAAGCGCTCCAGCTGGTTGTGGGACAGGTCCAGCGTCCGCAGCGACACCAGGCCTGCCAATCAGCCAATCGGCGTGACAGTGACACACTTCAAACCGAGCCACGCCACGGTGGGCCAGAAGACCGGTGGAGGCGGTCAAAATCCCGGACGCGTTTTGAGCTCCAGAGTCGCTTAATGGGACTCGAACCGAATGTGTGACCCCACCAATGGATTGCTCTCCAAACCAGGAATCCATTGGTGGGGGTCACACGCTTGGTTCGAGTCCCATTAAGCCACTCTGGAGCTCAAAACGCGCCTGGAGTTTCGGCCGGTCTTCTGGCCCACTGTGCGCCGCTGTGACGCAGAGCGCTCCCCGGCTCGAACACGCACCTTGCAGCGCGCCGTTGGGCAGGTACGTGAGGCTGTTGGCGGTCAGGTTGAGCGTGAGCAGCTGCAGCAGGCCGTCGAAGGCGCGCGCCGACACGTTGGCGATCTGGTTGTGGGACAGCTCGAGCTCGAAGACGACGGGCAGGCGGCCGAACGCGCCGCGCGGCAGCTCCGTCAGCTGGTTGTGCTGCAGGTACAGGTACTGCAGCGAGGTGAGGTCGCCCAGGGCCTCCCACGGCGGCCGCGTGAGCGCGTTGTGCGACAGGTCGAGCCGCTGCAGCGTCAGCAGGTTGGCGAAGGAGCCGTGCGTGAGCGCCTCGTCCGTCATGCCGTTGTGCGACAGGTCCAGCCCCAGCAGCGCGTTCATCGAGGGCCACGTCGTGCCCGGCTCCAGCCGCGACACGGCGTTGTGCGACAGGTCCAGGTGCGACAGGGAGATGGGCAGCTGGAACACGCGCGACACCTGGTGGGCAGAGACACGGCCATCACGGAGTGCACGGAGATGGCGCCACGAGTGCGAGGGAGAGGACTCTCGGAATCAGTCTGCTGTAACGGAGACCCGGAGACCTCTCCCGGCGTGTGTCCGCGCGAACCGTTGGTGCGGCCTAACCCACCTGGTTGTGGGCGAGGGTGAGCCAGCGCAGGGAGGCCAGGCGGGCCAGTGACCCGCGGCCCACGTCGGAGAGGTTGTTGTGGCTCAGGTCCAGCTCGAGCAGGGTGGGCACGGCGCCGAACGTGGAGCTGCGCACCTCGGTCATGGCGTTGTGCGACAGGTTGAGGAAGCGCAGGCCGAACAGCGTCTGGAAGACGCCGTTCCAGATCTCCTGCAGCGCGTTGTGCGACAGGTCCACGGTGTGCAGCTCGTACAGCTTGGGGAACACGTTGCGCGGCACGCGCTCGATCAGGTTGTGGCTCACGTTGAGCACCTTGAGCCCCGTCATGTTGTGCAGCGGCACCTGGGGGCGAGACGAAGACGGTCATCACACAGTGGATTTGCCAGAGGGCCGGTGGAGGTGGCCAATCCCGGACAGGTTGGGAGCTCACCTGCGCCAGGTCGGTCAGCAGGTTGTACGACAGCTGCAGCTCGGTGGCGTACGTGTTGGCGTCGAAGGCCGTCCGCGGGATGTTGCCGATCTTGTTGTGGGACATGTCCAGCACCGTGACGTTGGCGCAGTTCTCGAAGGCGCCCGGCTCGATCGTCTCGATGGCGTTGTGCGACAGGTTGATCCGCACCAGGTACAGGTCCTTGAAGGACAGCTTGGCGATCTCCGTCACCTGGTTCTCGGACACGTCGATCAGCTGCGAGGGAACCGAAGGGGGCTGGATTAGTTTTCACTTTTCGCACGGCTGTTGCGGCACGCGATACTGACACCGGCCGACGACAAGGCACGCTTTTGGACGCCCGCGCCGGTCTTCTGGCCCCCTGTGCCGCGCCACTCCACTGCCTCACCTCACAGTACTGCAGCTGCTGGAACATCTGGAAGTCGATCTTGGCCAGCTTGTTGCGCGCCAGGTCGATGGTGCCGACACGCGTGATGCCGCCGAAGGTGCCGCGGCCCACGTCGGCGATCTGGTTGTCGGCGAGGAAGAGCCGCCGGATGAAGCGCATGCCGCGGAAGCTGTTGCCGTCCAGGCGCTTCAGCCGGTTGCCGGCCATGTTGAGCACGCGCAGCACCGTGTTGCGCGCGAAGGTGCCGCTGCGGAGCACAACCGGTACGTCAGTCTGAAGCCCCGGGCACAGTGGGCCTACCGTGCCGACAGACTCACCGAGTCAGCTCGCCGATGTCGTTGTGGGACACGTTGCACGACGCCATCTTGGTCAGGTCCGCCAGGTGGCTCGAGTCCAGCTTGACCAGCGCGTTGTGGGAGAGGTCCAGGACCTCCACGTCGCGCAGCCCCTTGAATTGGTTCTTCTTCAGTTGCTGTGCCGAAAAATAGTTGGAGTTAAAAGAGTTGTGCAAGGTAACCCGCGTTGTTTGCGAGACGTTGCAGTTGTGGAACGCCTGCGAGGTAGGCAACTAGTCCACCGACGAGTTCAACGGGACTGCCATCCTGTGGCCCGCAGGCGTTTGGCCAGGGCGAACGCCTGCGCGGTAGGCAACCAGTCCACCGCCGAGTTCGACGGGACTGCCTACCCTCTGCCCCGCAGGCGCGCGGCCTTCGCACTGCCTTTGCTCCTTACGGTGATGTTGTTGCCGTGCAGGTCGAGCAGGCTGAGCTTCCGCAGGGGCTGGAACACGTCGAGCGGCAGGTCGGCGATGTGGCCGTTGCAGACGTGCAGCTTGCTGAGGTGGGCGGGCAGCAGGCTGTCTGCGAAGGCGGACGAGGGCAGCTCCGCGATGTCGTGGCCGTCCAGCTTGAGCAGCGTCAGGTTGCCGAGCACCTGCGGGAAAGTTCGTTTTTCTTATTTTTTATATACGAAGTCTTAGGTATTTTGTTGGGTTTTTTTTAGGAGTATGGCCGGTTTGACTTTAGCACCGGGCCGCTGCGACGCGGAAAAAGGGCCGGTAAATCGAACGGGAGCCGCACTGGGCCGCGGCGCGGTTCGGCTTGACGGCGTCCTCGGCGGCCCGGGCGGCCGCACCGCGGGCACCTCGCCGCGGGGCTAGTTTTTCCGCGCCGCCACCTCCGGACCCGAACGCCGCACCACTCCCAGAGCTGGTCGCAGCGGTCCACTTTGGCTTTAATCGTCGGAGACAATGGTGCAGTTGGAACAAGCCACGGACGACTATGGCCGCCAATCAACTTCGCAGCGCGGCGCGGCGCGGGGCCGAAGCACTGCTGTCGGTACGGTACACCGACGGAAACGAAAAAAAAAAAAATATAAGTTCGCAAGGCAAACTCAAGTGCATCGTGACGCCCCCGTGGCGTCGTCAGATGTTGACTCTGCCAGTGAGAGTTAGCGCGCGCGTGGGTGGCATAATCAGCTCGTTGGTTCCTGTGGCGAGCCACGCTCGTGTGTGTGTGTGCGTGTGTGAGTGAGTGTGTGCGTGTGCGCGTGAGGGTGTGCGAGTGACGGACAACATCAGCAGCAGGGCCTGGGAAAAGGGAAAGGTATTCCCATGTGATGACCATCCTCAGTGCAGAGTGCATGGGAGCAAGCAGGGCAGCGGCGGCTCTGTCTGTCTGTCTGTCTGTCTGTCTGTCCGTCAGTCCACCTTGTCTGCACAGTGTATCGTGGGCCGGGCGGTGCAAACGCCATGCAGCCCAAAGAGAAAGGACCTCTCCACTGCTACACTTGTGCGCGTGGCCGCGTGGCCGCGTGGCCCGGTGCAGCGTGCCGAGTCATCCCGCACGCCTCAATGAGTCGCGCGGCGCGTCGCCAACACCGGCACAACAACAACGAAAACAACAACAACAACAGCGACAACAATCAAGGAGACAATAGTTGGTAACTAGAACAAGGAACAGCGCAGCGCCCTCGGCTGCGCCGGGCCGCCCCAGTCCGCTTCAGTCTCGGGCGCTGTCTCCGACTGTCCCGCTGCCTGGCGCCTGGGACTCAAAACGGGTGCCCGAAACAGGAGTACGCCTCGCCCGGTGATTCGAGCGGACCATCCACCGCGGCGCCCACGCTGTCGTGCCCTCTCTCTCGCACCCTCACGGAGAGCCCCATGAGTGCGACAGAGACAGAGCGACGAAACGACTCTTGCGAATGGCTCGGCCGGCGTGCTCTGCGCATCCTTACCTGCAGGGCCGTCGTGGGGAACTCCTGCAGCTTGGAGCGCACCACGTGCAGCTCCTGCAGCGTGCGGTTCACGCCGTAGAAGGTGCCGGGGTCAATGCTCGTGAGGGGCGTGTCCTCGATGACCAGCACGCGCACCTTGAGCGGGTGCAGCAGCGCGCCGTACAGGCGGCCTGCGGAGAAAAGGGGGATGCATTACAAACGGTGCTCATTTCACAGTACATCTACCTCACAGTGGGCGAGGAGATCGGTGGAGGCGGTCAAAATCCCGGACGTGATTTGAGCTACAGAGTCCCATTTAGCGACTCCTGAGCTCAAAGCGCGTCTATAGTTTTGGCCGCCTGCGCCGGTCTTCTGGCGAATCCGCTTGCTTGGTACTTGCCGATGTTGCAGCCCACGACGCTGAGGCGCTCGATGGGCAGGCCGAGGCGCGCCACCTGCTGCAGCCCCACGCTCAGGGTGGCCAGGTTGGTGTTGTGGCATCGCACCAGCAGCCCCTGGTCGCCGCCCGCCAGGCAGCTGCAGGGGTACAGCGAGGCCGTGGGGCAGCGGTAGCGGGGGCCGGGCGGGATGTACTCGGCCTCCACCAGGACGCCGAGCACCAGGACGGCCGCCGCGGCCAGCAGCCGCCACGACGCCCGGCGCCGCGACGCCCAGTCCATGCCGGGGCCTGGGGCCTGTGGGCGAGACAGAGACGGACAAGCGTGAGTGGTACAACGGGCGCACAGTGGATTTGTCAGAGGACCGGCTTCCGCAGTCCGGGCACGCCGCGACGCCGTGACGATGTGACATGAAGATCCTCGGCGCGGCGGCAGCCAGCCAGCCAGCGCCCGGCACGTCGCGACGGAACGGACGGAACGTAGTTAAAACGACGAGAAATAAAAAAGCGACGCCAACGCGCCGCGCGACGATTCCAAACCGAGGCGTGACCTCATGGCCGCGGCGACTTTACTCCCCGCTGTGTGTGTGTGTGTGTGTGTGTGTGTGTGTGTGTGATGTGATGTGATGTGATGTGACGAACGACCCAGCCAGCATCATCCCCTGCCTCCAGCCTGCTTCCTTCCTGCCTGGGCTTTGGCCCTTGACCGGTGACCCCTGCGCTCATCTTCGCCACGGCCAGCAGCCGCAGCGAGCTCGTGCTATATGCTAAAGCAGCTAAGGGCAGCCCGCGCGGCGCGCATCCACTGCGAAAAAAAAAGAGAGAAAAGGATTGCCGTCTCGAAGGTAAGCGACCAGACCAACCCCAACAACACTCTCGGAATAGCTGGGAGGTTAAGGACCAAAAATGTGCAAAACATGCTCGGAACGATCTGATTTCGGAAATCGGTAGATTTGAACCTCCTCCTTCAGATTTGAGTTGTAGCCAAACCAGGAAACCGCGGGAACCCACTCAAAAAGCGGGTTGCATATTTGCCGGGGGCACCGCCGATTTTGCTATTAAAATCCATTATAAATCCGAAACTAGACGACGCAGCGTCGTGGTAGAAACGTCGGGGCGTCTAGGAGACTTAGAGGAGTAAGTTCGCGTTGGTTTCAGCCCTCTGACATCAAAACTCCGTCGTACAGGATCGATTAACTGATTGGGCATCAACGTCAAAAATAAGAAATTCGCAATTTACTCGAAAACTTTCAGGTTCAATGTATGAGTTATTGGGCACCAATAGATGCACCCTTTCCTCAGCTATCACGTGAGCACTTAAAAAAGTGGGGTCGTCGCTTTGGATTTCGAACGGCAGCGCTTTGAACGCCGCGTGGCGGGGAGCGCACGGCCCCGCCGGGCCGTACCGCGAGTTGCCTACCCGACACCCCCGTAAGGCGCCATGTTAAACTCGTCCCTCGATAACTCTTTCCCTAATGGATAAAAAACGTGCCTATGCGGGTACAAACCTTTCTTTAAGCCTCAACTAGCCCCGTGCCGAGTGGCATTGCAAACGGGACATTTGCACATTCATTTCACTTATACCGGCCAATATGGACCAGGAGCGGGCACGACACAGTTCGTACAGCAAATCTTCCGTTTGCAATGCCACTCGGCACGGGGCTAGTTGAGGCTTAAAGAAAGGTTTGTACCCGCATAGGCACGTTTTTTATCCATTAGGGAAAGAGTTATCGAGGGACGAGTTTAACATGGCGCCTTACGGGGGTGTCGGGTAGGCAACTCGCGGTACGGCCCGGCGGGGCCGTGCGCTCCCCGCCACGCGGCGTTCAAAGCGCTGCCGTTCGAAATCCAAAGCGACGACCCCACTTTTTTAAGTGCTCACGTGATAGCTGAGGAAAGGGTGCATCTATTGGTGCCCAATAACTCATACATTGAACCTGAAAGTTTTCGAGTAAATTGCGAATTTCTTATTTTTGACGTTAATGCCCAATCAGTTAATCGATCCTGTACGTCGGAGTTTTGATGTCAGAGGGCTGAAACCAACGCGAACTTACTCCTCTATGTCTCCTAGACGCCCCGAAGTTTCTACCACGACGCTGCGTCGTCTAGTTTCGAATTTATAATGGATTTTAATAGCAAAAGCGGCGGTGCCCCCGGCAAATATGCAACCCGCTTTTTGAGTGGGTTCCCGCGGTTTCCTGGTTTGGCTACAACTCAAATCTGAAAGAGGAGGTTCAAATCTACCGATTTCCGAAATCAGATCGTTCCGAGCATGTTTTGCACATTTAGCATTTTTTATGGCGCTTAACCACCCAGCTAGAAGCTCTTTTGCACTGAACCCGTGATGTGACATGCGATATGCAGGCTCTGAGACAATGACGCCTTGCCGCACTAGAAAGAGTGTGTGTGTGTGTGTGTGTGCCACCCACCTCCATTGTTGCACGGTGCAGGTGGTGATTGCAGTGTGAACCGCGGCGACAGCGCGACGGCTGCATCTGCCGCTGGACAGGAAAAACCGCCCACGGGCCCCACGAGCCCCACGGGTCACAGAGCGGCCGTGAAGATGCAAAAGAAGCCTGGCTTTCCGTCATGTGGGGCGTCGCGCGGGGCTGCGAGAGAGACGGAGAGTGGGGCCGGGCAGCCGGACCCCTTCTTCGTTACTCCTTCCTCCGCGATTGCCTACACTGCGCTGCGCCGCCGTTCCGAGAACATTGAACGGCGGGGTCGCTTCCTTCCTCTTCCTTTTCGCGCCGCAGCGAGGCCTCGCTCTGTCTCTCTCGCACCCCTGCAGCACGCGGAGGACGGCCCACGAGTGCGACAGAGACGGAGACACGAACCGCCGTCAAGGACGCCGCAGCGCGCCGCAGCGGGGCTGTCCTGTGGTGGAGAAAGGAGCCGCCCAAACGACACGGACTCGCTTGTTTCTGCTGTAGGTTAAGTCAGTCTACCGAACAACATGGACTCGTTAGTTTCTGCTGCGGGTCCTTTTTTTTGTGACGCGATATTCTTTATAGAGCTCTGCAGCGGCCGGTGCGGAGCGCGGAGCGGGTCTCGAAGCGGGCGGCGGGCAGCAGGCTGTTATGAAGCAAACAATGCAAGGTGATCCCCGACTCCTGCCACTGCCTGCCACGACCCACAGTGGGCCAGAAGACCGGTGGAGGCGCCAAAAATCTAGACGCGTTTTGATCTCCAGAGTCGCTAAACGGGACTCGAACCGAACGAGTGATCCCACCAATGGATTCCTCGTTCGGAGAGCAATCCATTGGTGGGGCCGCACGTTCGGTTCGAGTGCCACTCAGCGACTCTGGAGCTCAAAACACACCGGTCTTCTGGCCCACTGTGCAACGGGTCCGAAGGGGGTTTACCAAACCGCTCCTGCCAGCCAGATGGACCGAATGCACGAATACTCCCGGTGCGCCGCCTTCCCGGTGAGACGTCGTCGTGACTGAGTTGTTAGTTGTTACGGGACTCTGGTTTACCTAATACGAGCGCCGGCAAGTTGGCATCAACCAATCGCGCGCGCGTTCGTAACAGTGCCCAGGTCTAGCACGCAAATTATTGTGCATTGTTCCTTCGAGGAAAAAAAATGAAAATAATTGCTCCCGTTCTAGCGCGTCTGAGTCGTGCCGAATCCGGACTGAGAAAATGGCCGTGCCGGGTCAGAGTGAGACAGACTGGGGGAGGGGAGGGGAGGGAGAGAGAGTTGTCGGGCACCGCGACGCATGGCAGGAGGCATGGCACCTCGGTGACGCAACGAACAAAAGGCGGTCGGAGCGACATCCATCGAAGAACCAACGGGGATCAAAGCCGCGGCATCTTCGGACCACCTGCGTGACACCTTCTGGATTATTGGTTTCGATGCGTCTCCGCTTCAGTTTGGTTTCCGTTTCCCACTGAGTGTGTCTTGGAAAGTCCAATTAAGGGCTACGTACTGTTGTTTTTGTTTGGAATCACGGACCTCAGCGGACTGATTCCGAGAGTCGTTTTCGTCGCGCTGTCTCTCTCGCACTCATGGGGCGTCCCGTATAGGTGCGAGCGAGACAGAGCGACTCGGAATCAGTCCGCAGCGCGGCAGCGCGGTGTTGCCCCGCTGTAACGGGCTTCACGGTGCGTCGGCGCCGCCGTCGGCGCGGTTCGTCTTAATTTCTTCCAAAGCGCCTCGCGCTCTGCCGCCTGTCCGTCTTACGGTGCCGTATATGGAGATAAGGCGGCAGACTGATTCCGGGAGTCGTTTTCGTCGCTCTGTCTCTCTCGCGCACTCAAGGGACGCCCCCTATGAATGCGAGACGGAGACGATCCCCGCAAAAGGAGCTGCGCGGCTTCTTGGTTCGGGGAGACTTAAACGCGCAGTAGCGTCAGAGTTCGTGGGCAGGCTGGCTTCGGGTGGTCTCTCTCTCGTGCGCGCTTGTGGGGCGTATCGAAGGGTGCGAGAGAGACAGAGGTAGCCTGCAGAGCAGAGCAGTCGGAGTGAGGCCTGGTCGGGCGGGCTGGGGCAGGGCGACACACTCCCAACAGAATAGCCTTGAGGCAAACCTCCGCAGCGGGGCAGGAGGGCACCGCGGGGAAGACAACTACACTGGAAGACTGGAAGGCAAGGCGAGTCCAGCGGAGGACCCGGTCGTTCGGCCGGGTCGGCTTCACACATCCCATCGCGACGCGGCGCCGGCTGACCTCGTCCTGCACCCAGCCTGGATCATCGGGTGGACGCCCCACAGTGACTCTGGACGCGTTTAGAGCTCCAGAGTCGCTACATGGGACTACCTAAGAAGAGCACAGGGCACAAGACACGACCACCACTGTTGACACAAAACGCTGAGGTTCGTTGGCGTTTCAATTTGTCAGACGATCACGATTACTTGACATCTTCTCCCACTGTGTATGGCTTCGTCTTAGCATATCAAAGTACAACCCTGACACTGTCAAAAGCTCTCAACGAACAGACTCTTCAGCTACTGTTTTCCAAGAAATGATCACCTAGAATCTCAGTTACTGGCGCTAGCCGCCACGGCACTCTGGCCCTGGACCAGCACCACCACGAGGGTCACGGAGGCCAGCCGGAGAGCGAGGGAGGGAGGGGGGCGGCATGAAACTCACCCGCGTTCACCTAGACGGGGCTGCTGCTTTGGCTGCTTTGGCGGCCGACGCACCACACTGTTCCATGACACCGTGCGCGGACGGCAGTGTGCACCGCGGACCGCGCGCACACCGCGGCGTCGCAGTCCGGACGCCGCCCCGGGCCGGGGCAGGGCATAAAATATGGAAGCGGGAATGCACTGCCTTGGCCAGACGGCCAGTCACTAGTCGTGGCGCGAGGCGAGAGCGAGGCGGAGAGGCACGGCGTCGAGGCGGCGCGCGGCGGAACGGCCGGGGCAGCGTAGCAGCGGCGCCGAGAAAGCGGCCGACAGATGACTGCGGCCCCGCAGCGCGCAGCCCAGCCTGCCCCAGCCAGGCCCCAGCCCAGCGCCAGCACGGCGGGGTGGGGCGTGGCGGGGAAGGCGCGGTGGGGCAACTTGGGCCCCTCCGTCCCCGTCCCTGCCTCCACCCGCTACGCCCGCTCATGGCCACCGAGTCCACGAGTCACGGCCCGTACGAACTCCAACCGACGTGGCCGCGGGGCCGCCGTGGCTGCTACCCGACACAGGTGCAGAGAGAACTCGAGCTCGCAGCTCGGCGGGGCGAGGACCGGTCGAAGTTAGGAGCGTGAGACGGGGAATGACCGCGAGCGACTCTGAGTTGGGGAGACACTTCCTTCGTCTGCCTGGATCCGTCCGCAGCATCCCCCCTCCCCCTACTTGGCGCTGTTCTGGTGACCTACATTACAGAGTGTGAACTGGAAAAAGGAGGCTGTAAAATGGCGGCAAATTTGGAAACAGACTCGGAGAAATACACAGATTATAGTGCTTCAATTTGAGACTCGAGACTGCTTGAGACAGTCAAATGGGGAAAGGCTTAAAATATGCAATAGACACACGTCTTATTAGATTTGTGCACCAACAAATTATAATAATCAATCTCAATAGTACAACACAAGAAAATCGAATCTTATACATCTTATACAATACAGTACAAGTACCAAAACAATATGTACAGATGATATGTACATATTTAAAAAGGTATTATTTGAAAAACACCTGTTGCATTAGAATAATTTAGAATTTTCACGCTTCAAATTCTTGGTCAAAATTACAACACTGAGAGACAGAAGCAGATTGATGATCAGCTCAAATTTCGCAGCATTGCATTTAGACATCAAGGAAAATTTGAGAAACAAATGAAACATTATTTACAAATTTTAGAGTATTTACAGTAAATGGAACACAAAAAGCTAAATTTGACTGAAGTCTTACTCAGACTCTCCGTTCATTACAAATACGACCAATTTCAACAATAGTCACTGTCAAAGGCACTGTCACTTACAGAAACACCATGTCACAATTTGTAGGCAAAGCTGCAAACCTATGTGAAATCAAAGGAACTGTAACAATGTCAATCGGCTTAGCATACAGTAGCTCCATGAGAGATTTTGTAGAAATACTTTTAACAAAACTGATAAACAATAAAAACAGTTATTGCAGAGTAAAAATTTGGTGTTAAAGGAGAACAAAGGCTTCATTTACATAATGATCATGTAGCAGTAGCAATTATCAAGAATGAGATCAATTAAAGTAAGATAATAGAGACATGGAACAAAACATTCACAAATCTACAAGCCAGCTTAAAACAACACAGCTCATTTCACTAGACAAAACTTAGTAAATTTCCCTATAAATTCCACGGCTCTTCAAAGAAAAAAAAAAGCTCACTTGAATCAAATAGTTTTAGCTGAAATTAGTTGGATGTGCAATAGCACTTGTGTTCATTTATATGTACAGAAAAACTAGGAAAACAATGTCAAGAGACTAGGCACATGCATACCATAAACTTTAAACCTTTCAGGCATCAAAAGATATAGTAAAGTGGCTACAGGTAAATAATTTTCTTTAAAGGGGAGAAAAAAGTGGAAAAAGCACAGTTTTAACAAAATATGACAACAGTGTAGGATCCTCAATTTAGAATTATTGTTTTTAAAATAGTTGTACAGAAATACAGTCTTTAGATTGGGATCAGTATCACTGCTTCTTGAAGCTCTTCAAAATGGGATATATATTATCAAAGGCATCATAAATCTCTTGTCTCACTTTGGCACCAGTTAATACTACTTTACCAGACACAAAGATTAAAAGTACTATTCTAGGCTTCACCATACGATATATAAGGCCTGGAAATAATTCAGGCTCATAACTGCTGAATTGTCCATGGGTAAGAACAAGCCCCTCCAGTCGAATGGGGAATTTCACATCACAACTACCCACCATATTCTGAATTTTGAAGTCAAGGAACTTGGCCTAGGAACAAAGAAGGTCAACATTAATAGACTGTAGAATAAATATAATTTTTTTAAAGTATGTGGTTGTTAACAATAAAAATAATACTCACAGGAAAGCCAAGTTTCTGGATAATTCTTGCGTATTTACGAGCTGCTAATCTTGAATCCTCTTCACTCTTAGCCCCTGTACACACCATCTTTCCAGAACTAAAAATGAGAGCGGTAGTTCGAGGTTCTCTTATTCTCATAATCACAGCTGCGAACCGTTTAGGATTGTATTCTGCATTTCTGGCATGAAGGGCTATTTTTTTCAGCTCAAGTTTGCAATTGAGGTTGACAGTTGAGACAATGTTTCTGAAAATTGAAGTTCAAATCATTAAATGAGTGAGAACGGACACTTATAAATAAACGAATGAATAATAAACTTACTGTAACTGTGGTACAATGCCTGGATCTGCAGATGAAGGTGTCATCGGAGTCATTGGGCCTGGTGTCATCGGACCAATGGAAGGTACATTTGCATGACTTGATGATCCGCCAGTCATTGGGGACATCATGTTTTGCTGGGGAAATGAAAAGAAAGATTAGTTTACCAAGGTTTAGCATAAATTGAAGTTACTCCTAGCAGCTCTGTGGCACATTCCAGGAATCTGATCCAAGGAGCAACATCATTCCGTTCACAACGGATATCTTTGAAAAGCTGCAACGCTGTCAACTGCTGCGAGGCCCCACTGTCATTCATCCAGACAGGCACGCAGAGGCCTGCCAGGCCCGTCGCCTTGCTTACCGGGGTCTGCGGCTGCATCATGCTGTGCGGCGTTTGGAAGCCCGCCACCGAAGGGGCGTAGGTGGGCATTTTGTGAGGGGTCATCATAGAGGAGCCCCCCAAGGAGGGGAGGCTGCCGCCCATTCCCATCCCGCCCATGCCCCCCATGGCCCCCATGCCGCTGCCGCTGCTGCTGGAGGCCTGCCGGTTGTGCTGCTGCTGCAGCGCCTCGGGCAGGATCATCTGGTCCTCCTCCAGCTGGTGCATGGGGGTGCCAATGCTGGGGATGCTGAAGGCGGACGGACTCGGCAACATTTGATCCATGTTGACGTTAGGGCTTTTTCACACCGGCGCTGTCAAATACGGTCCTCGCGCGCCCCGCCTCGCACCGCCACTGAGCGACGTCTCTCTGGGTCCTTCTGGTGGGGCCGCGGTTCACAACATCTTCGTCAAAATGGGAAAACACGGTCTCCAAAACGTCGTTATCAAACTCAAACCGAACATCACAAACACGAAACCTCAACCTCCAATTTTGTCACCGCCTGCGCAACTTGTTGAAGAACAGCTTGCTTTGCTCATTTGGTTGTCTTCTTGTTCTTTTTCTACAGCGTCCCGCGTGCGAGATCAAGCCAGCCGTGACTGACTTGCTTTTGCTTTCATGATGATCCAAGCGGCCGGCGTGAGGGGATTTTAAAACCAAGTCAGTTCTTGAGAATTTCGGAGTCGGTGTTGAAGAGTACCTTTTAGTGTTCATTGGTTAATCGTGTGTCGCTGAACGCTTCATTGGTGAGTTACGTTCGAGGCATTGCACCATGATGGACGTGTCGTCGTTCGGCTAAAGTTGTTGAAACGCAGGTGCATTGCCTCTCCGGCGCCTGGCGCCCATCTTGTTCGCCCACCTGCTCCACTGTATTTTTCTCATCGCCCGCGTTCTGTCTGTGTGCAAGCGTCTCACCATCGGTGGCTTCTTGTGCAAATAGGTGCACTTGATTTTCTCTGCACTGTCTCAGTTCGCGTCAGATCCTGGTTCAAATCTCACTTAACCCCTCGCAAGTCGTGGCGCTTTTGTGCAACACATGCACTTTTTCGGCACATTGCACGTCCGCCACATTTGCCACCACACCGCGTGTTCATATTTTTCTCTAGCAGGAACTTGTTCATTGTTTTTCAATGATTATCTGTTCTGATACTTATACTTCGGACCTGTGGCTTGAACTTTAGCTTTGCATGTGCTATCTTTGGGTCTCTTGTGAATATTGAGGCACACCACTAGGTTTTTGTCTGACAATCATTTTCTTTTTGCTGCAGGAGCCATGAGTGACGATTGGGAAGAAGACGAATGGACTCCTCAAGAGACGTCCTCCAAGCAGCCTTCTGAGGGCGGTTGGCAAGATTCCTTCAGTGGCAGGACACGAGGGGGCCGAGGGAGAGGCTCAAGGAATGATGGTGGAAACCGCAGCAATTGGCGAGACAGAAATGAGCAGAGTGGCTACAATGAAAATCGGGGTGCAGGAAGGGACCGTGGCGGAGATGAAGGTGGTGATACAACCACTATCAATGTTGATTCACAGTACCTTGGGAGAATCATTGGAAAAGGTGGCTCAAAAATCAGAGAGCTTGAGTCTGAGTCAGGGGCTCGTATCAAGGTAAAGGTTGAATGCAGACTTCAATTGTTAACAAGCCTTGGTGTTCCAATAAATTTTTATTTTGTATACGCTTTCAATAGGTAAATCGTGATGATGCCACAGTGGTCCTTTCTGGATCAAGTGACTCACAACAAAGAGCAAAAGAAATGATTGATGAGTTGATGACTGATAATAGAAGAGGGGGAGGGGGTGGTTATGGTGGAGGGAGAAATGATAGAAATGAAAGATTTGGTGGCCGAGGTGGCTACAATAATAGTGGGCCGGATATGTCTGCCATAGATGCTTTGGCAGATGAGCCAGCTCCTGTGATAGACTGGGACCTTGTAAATGAGCAACACGTAAGTACCTTGGCTTTGTCGCTGAGTTTAGGTGCGACTTAACATAAGTTGCTGTTGTAATGGTGCTTGATGGTTCTTGCAGGCAGCAGCTAGGAGTAAACGCTTGGCAGCTCTACCGCCACTGAAGAAAGTGTTTTATGAAGAGCTTCCAGAAGTTGCAAACATGTCAGAAGAGGAAGTTGAAATATATAGGTGTGAATGATTTTTTCTTGATGTATATGTTTTTGTCTTTTAGTCTACTTTACTCAGTAGTATTCTTTGGTTTTCAGGTTGCAGAGCAATAATATTCAAGTGGCCTATGTGTTTAAGGACACAGGCAGAAAACCAATTCCCAACCCTGTAAAGACCTTTGAGCAGGCATTCCATAACTACCCAGATATTCTTACAGAAATTTACAAGCAAGGCTTTAAGTCGCCCTCTCCCATTCAATGTCAGGCCTGGCCTGTGCTCCTTGGAGGCCAAGATCTGATAGGAATTTCACAGACTGGCTCTGGTAAGTGTTTATTGTCCATGAGCTGTCCCAACTAGCAGTGTTCTGTTTTATTTATATTTTTGTTTTTTTGATTTCAGGTAAGACATTAGCATTTCTGTTACCAGCTTTGATTCATATTGATAATCAGGAAATACCACGATCAGAACGCGGCGGGCCTAATTGCCTTGTTCTTGCTCCTACTAGGGAGTTAGCTTTACAGATAGAAAAGGAAGTTAATAAGTATTCTTACCGAAACATTAAAGCGTAAGTGTTACATAATTCAGTTTTTTCTCATTTTATAACTATAGATGTTGATGGAAAACACATTGTCTTGGAATTCTTATGTTTACAGTGTGTGTGTGTATGGAGGAGGAGACAGAAGGTCTCAAGTATCAAAAGTAAATAAAGGTGTTGAAATTATCATTGCGACCCCAGGGAGATTGAATGATCTCTGCGCAGCAAGTATGTATATCTGTCTCCTTTCTTTCAAATGGAGAGGAAGGGAAGGCTTTCATTTTGACTGTTTGTCTGTATCTATATGCATCATATCTTTTATTACAGATGTCATTGATGTTACATCAATTACTTATCTTGTGTTGGATGAAGCTGACCGAATGTTAGACATGGGCTTTGAGCCCCAAATCAGAAAGACACTGATTGACATTCGTCCTGATCGGCAAACTGTTATGACTAGTGCTACCTGGCCAGAAGGAGTACGCCGTTTGGCCCAGTCATACATGAATAACCCTATCCAAGTATTTATTGGAACTTTAGATTTAGCTGCTTGCCACTCAGTGACCCAAATTATTGATATAGTTGATGAGGAAGAAAAATGGGAGAAGGTAAAGAGGTTCTTACACTTATGACCTTAATTTTATTTGACATTCTGGAATTTATTTAGTCAACCTTTTCTTTCTTTCCTTGGCCAGCTTATGTGCTTTTTTGAAGAAATGCAAGGGGATGACAAAGTCATAGTCTTTGTCGGCAAGAAGACTCGGGCAGATGAGCTATCAGCAGAAATGGCTCTGAAAGGAGTTAATGTGCAGTCAATACATGGAGATAGAGAACAATCAGACAGGGAACAAGCTCTGGAGGACATTAAAAGTGGCGAGGTTCGCATTCTGATTGCAACTGATGTTGCCTCAAGAGGCATTGATATTGGAGATATAACGTGAGTACTGTGAAGTTGAACTGTGCTTTGTTGATAGACAGTGCCATGTGTACTGATCACTCTTTTATATCCCAATCAGCCATATTATTAATTACGACTTCCCTCGTAACATTGAGGAATACGTGCACAGAGTGGGTCGTACTGGCCGTGCTGGCAAGACAGGGACTGCCATTACATTCTTCACTCGAAACGACTGGGGCAATGCCAAAGACTTGATTCCAATCCTTGAAGAAGCTGGCCAGGTTCGTTCTTGGACACATCTGTGAGCATTTTAATTACTGGCCGCTTTTGTTTCACTGCCCAACTGGATCCCCTTTTTTTTGTTGCAGCACGTGCCAGACGAACTCGTCGCCATGATGGAGCGCTTCGAGGCGCGGAAGGCGAGGGATGGTGACCGAAGGGGAGGTGGCTGGGGCGGCGGTCGCGGAGGCCGCAGGGACGACCGAGACGGAGGCGGCTTCGGAGGCGGTGGTCGCGGAGGCCGCGGCGGCCGCAGGGATGACGGCGACGGCTGGGGATTTGGCGGGGGCGGGGGCGGCCGCAGGAATAAGTGGTGATGATCTTTCACTCGGACTGCTCTTTTACTATATCTTTTGTAGATTTATCCAAAGTACAAGTTGAGCCTTTGTAATCAGTGTTTCTTTATTTTCAGTATTACTTACTGTAGTAATGCCTATATTTTTAGGTGCTATTGAATCTCTTTTTTTGTATCAACAATCAAAATTTTATCTTGTGACATGTAATTTATTGTTATCTGCATCTAGTCCCTAGGCGTTACAGGGATGGGTGTTTGTGATACCTTGCATGTTGAAGTTGCAGGAGCCTTTTGTTATGTTCGTTATGGAACCTTATATGCTAACATTGTTGCTTCATTTGTTATTTATGTCTATTATGCATACTTTAATAAGTGATATGTTCCTACCAAGACTGTCAAATGTGCCTTTGATCAAAATATATTATTACTTTCTATCAAACTGTTTTCTTCATTAATTTAGGATTAAAATAATAAGAGACCCTTTATGTCAAACTTTTATTGATGAAACATACCAAGCTTGTTTCAATCACACAAGTACTGAATATAAATAATTAGCATAGAAATGCTTCACACATGCTCATATCAAATTATGTACGTCAACAAAATAATCAATATAAAGAGTGTTCAAAAAGGCTATTCCTAAAGAGAAGGCATCGGTCATAAAAAAAGGAAAAGTAATCAATCAGCTTAATCATGCATTGGTGTATACAAAATAGTCCTTGCGTCCTGTGTAATGTTCAGCAAATACTTTTCCCAGGACAGTGGGGGAAGAAAACGCAATCTCTTCCAAAGTCAATACATGTCCAAAAATAAAATTTTTCCTGTAAAAGGAGAAAATTCAAGGGATAAAAAAACAAAAAGCATGTAATGCTTTCTCAATATTTTCATGAAGGCAAATAGTTACCTCATGCAATCCATCAATTGCCTGGCAACATTAGCACGTCTGTTGGGTCTGTGAACCCAAATGCGGCTAACACCACACTTGACAGGGTACTCCTCAGCAGTGCAACAATCAATACCTTCTGCTTCAAGGCTTGTTTCCAGCATTTTGTTGGCATTTTTGACTGGAACTGCTAGCAGACAGCCAACAACGCTTTTCTCAGATATGTACAAAAACACCTGCAACATGAAAGAGGACAACAAAATGAAAGAGAACCAATACTGGTTGACAGATTCCCAGGTCTACAAATAAAAATGGGAAACTTAGACGATTCCGAAAAACTTCAACTTGCCATAGAGTGGTTGGGATCACATTGGACACCTTCAGCAAACCCTAGGTCTTTGTCAACCACTCTCAAAACATCCAAAGCTTTGGACCACCATGCTTTGGGATCTCCTGGTCGTACTACTACCACCCTATTTCTACCATCAAGTCCAACAATACGCTCATTTTTCCATCCCTGGAACAGAGACAGGAATTACAAACAAAATGAAGAAATTAATCAATCTAACAATACTGATAAATTTGCATACCATAAATTTAAGATCCTTGACAGCATTGTGAAACTCCTGGTGGGCAAGCTCATCCTCGGGTTCACCCATTTGATAAATAGCGGAACATGTACTGCACTCAGTGGCCCCAAAGCGTTTCTGACCAGCATCCAACTGGTACTGATCATTTCCAATAGGGCGTAAAAGTGATCGCCTTCGTTTTTGCATAACATTTGGGGACAGCTGTGCTCTGTAGACATTCAAACCAAATTAATTTTGAGGCTTACAACAATATTACATAACTTACAACAATATCATAAAACACATCAGACACTAACTTTTGATGAGAAAAGTTGGAATCAAAGATAGGGAAATATTTCACTGGTGTTGAATCCAGTTCTGAAGAGTTTTCGTTTTCCTTTGTCTCGTTTGATTCAGGATTGCCATCATCCTCTGGTAAGGGTTCACAAAGTGGCAGGTCATCATCTTCCATGATAACATCAGGCACAGCAGATAAAGTCTGAACCTGAGATTCAGTCAAGTGCAAAGTATCACCACCAACATTGATGCTGAGAGTGGAAGTGGAGGAGGCCAGCTGGCTCAGAGGACTCAACAAACTATCCTCAGAGGGCCTCTCAGAAGATCTCTCAGGACTGCTTGGAACAACATTAGTGGAAGATTTCACTGGACTACTCAGAACAACGTCGGTGGAAGATTTCCCTGGACTAGTTGGCATAGCATCAGTCTGCAAAGAAGATAAGAGAAAAAGAATAAATTAATTTATGAGAACCAAAAACATGTATCTAATCTCTACAATGAAAAACAGAACCTACATATGAACCATTCGGGTGGGAAGTTTCTTCAGTTGAGTTCATGGAAGAGACGACTGGTGCAACGGACTCTGGTGAGTTACATTTGTCCTCTTCTAATTTTTCCAGAATGTTTTGAACATCATTTCTTGTACTAGCAGCAACATCCTGAAAAAACAAAGTAAAAAACATCAGCTTTAAAAAAAAACACATGATTTCAATGCTGTCTAGAATTTAACAGAACACTTACCTCTTCATTGTCATCAAATGCTTTGATAGATTCAATCTGTTTGTCATGACTGTACAACTTCCTCCTGCGCTTAGGTGGAGGAGCAGGTGAGGACTTGTCAACAGTAAATTTGCCCTTGTGAATTTTAATCCTGAAAAAAAAAAAAAAAAAAAAAATTAGTATGAAGTTAAGTTATGATCATATAAAACAATTAAGAATGTAAACTTTGCCTTAAAAATAAGAGAAAAAGGCTACCTTATATTTTTTGATATAGTGATGGTGGCGGTGCGGCTCTTGATGTTCCCCGTCTTGAAGATTCGCTTAGTTGGGTCTGGCGGAGGTGAGTCCATTGCCTCCTGTTCTGATTCGGAAGCTGTGTCTTCTTCAGGTTTAGCCCTCTTGGAACGCACTCGCAAGAAAGCGGAGGCCGACACTTCAGCTAATTCCTCATCTGACTTTTTCACTGGGATGGCCAACATACTCATCTTTGGCACTTTTATAGGAGATATACTTTTCTTTCTATTAGACTTTGGTGCAACATCCCAAATGGACTTCACTTTCCCTTGCTTTTTCGAGGGTTGGTTCACTTTAGGCTTGGTCTTTGGAGGACGGCGAATTCCAGTTCGTACCCCTGCATTTATTTCTCCATTCATCTTCCTGCGCTTTGTAGAGCGACCAGTCAGATATATACCATCATCTCTAACTCTCTTACTACCAACTGAACGAGAAACGCCAGGAAATAGAGATGTGCGAGCACGAGGTAATTCCGCTCCAGCACTTCTTGATCGGCCTTCAATAGTATGGCGTCTCTTCTCTGGGCTACTAGGAGATGCCGAGGTGACTGAACCTGAACCAGAGGCAGGCATACTACGGCGTTTGGAAGGAGTCAGAGGCTGTGAAGCTGCAAGGTCAGAAACAGCCCTGACCAATTCATTGCTTTTGGGAGTAGCGCTGGGTGTGCGATGTGCAAGTGGAGACTCTGCACAGTCACTTTCATCCATTACTGACAAAACAGTCTGTTCAAGCTGATCGGCAGGCACAATTTCATTGGGATCTTCCACTGGTTTTATACCATTTTGTTTACTCTTAGAAATCTTTACTATTCCAGATTTGTTCTTGGGTTGATTGACAACATCAGCAAGCAGCAGTGCAAACTGCTTACGTGGAGAATCTTTATACAAAGCCCTGGATGTAGAAGGCTTACGGCCAAATGGCGATATTGGCCCTGAAGTCTTTCTAATAGGGCTGAATGTAGTAGAATCAGGTGATGCAGGAGCTGAACTGTAACGTTCTGGAGAAGAACCAAGTGGAGACATGTGACCCAAGTCACTTGTCTGAGGGCTTGCTGAGGGGAACAGAGCCCTTTTCCTTTCAGATCTGCGAGGTGTTAATTGCTCTTCCGATATAGTCTTCATGGGTGTTTCAAGGTCCATTGAAACATCGAAGCTTCCATGCAAGGCCGCATCTCGAGAAACTTGCGCCATTATGGCAAAGTCTGCAAAGTGAATGAAATTATTGAGACATTTCAAACAATTATCAATCGAAGAGTGAATTATACTTTCAAGAGACATACACAGTTCACCTCACAACTACAAGAGGTGAGAAGGTATGAAATAGAAACTCAAAGATCAGGAATTTAAAAGGCTAACATCAGAGGTATTCAAAGGGTTGAGAATATTCTGGCAAGAGATCATATGGTGATACAAATAGTTGCTTGACGGAATAATCAAACCTTAATCATGGACTGTTGAATAACTGATTCAATTGCGAAACAATTGTTAATAGTAGAGTTGTTTGCAAAGCGCGTAAACATAGTGATGGCCTATAGGCTACATTCTGCAGGATCAAGCTTGTTGCTTCAGAAGATTCGCACATTTACACCAGCAATCCTTCTTTCAGAGAGGTATCAGAGCAATGATCATCGAACTCGAAACGCCTTCTCTTCGGAGGTAATCACACAATAAATAAAATCTTACCTCGCACGGCAATCTATCAATCAAAAGGTAAATTTGTAGTCCGCCAAACAACAAAGAACTAGGTAAAAATGGCAAAGCCGCCGGTTCCCGCGTTTACACCAAATCTAGTTACCAAGCCGAGCAGATATGCGAGCGGAAGCAAAAGGAAGGGATGAGGTTTGGTTGGTTTGGAGTGTCAAGAAATCGTTCTGTTCAGATTTTTATAACATTCTAAAAAACTTAAGTAGTTTTGAAAAAAAAAACGGTGTTAATTCATAATATTGTGAGTAACTATTTTTTATTAAATTCATAACATTTTCCGGTCCAATCTCTGATTGCCAACCCTACAGCAACAACAACAAACATAATCAAAAACAGCGGCTGCAAGTGGGGTGGGGAGACGTGAAAATGCCGTATGCTCTTGCCTCTCGTATGTGAAGCTTTTCTGAGGCACAAATCACAATGCTTTCGTCTAAAATCATGAGGAAGTAAAAATGTTTTCGTTCCTTGTCTGTATTAGAACTTCCAGAAGAGGTACAAGCCCTTTCAAGGTGCAGTTATCCAAGGCTTACAACCGCTGTCACGTCACTAGGGGAATCGAAACCACATCCTACAGAACGCTATTGAAAAGTTAACTTCCCTCGTCTGTCTTTAAACTTGAGCGATTGCATTCATAAATATTTTAAATCACGACAATGGCTTTGGCAGAATATAAAGATACCTTGGCTACTTCAGCTTCATTCAGCACAGTCCTATTATTTATGACTGGCATGTGAGTATATTTTTCTTTGACTCTACTTGTCAAAATTTGGTGTCTCATCACATCACAACAATCTTTTGTTATAAATGTCTTTTAACATTGAATTTTGTTTTCTAGGTTTACAGCCAACAAAATAATGAAAAGGAATAGTGTTGGCGACGACTCTTATGTTCCATTTATCACTGGGTTCCTATCGTACGTGTAAATAATAAATAATTTGATTCTCTGAGTTATACTTTTGAAATTTTACAACTCTGTATTTTTTCCATCTTCAGGTGTAGCTTGTGGCTACGATATGGTATCCTTATAGAAGATGCAACCATCACCTTAGTAAACAGCGTTGGAGCATTTCTTCATATCTCCTACTTAACTATTTATATTTTCCACTCTAAATCAAAGGTTCTTTTTTCTTTCAGAATCTATTGTTTAAATTATTGCTCACATGTTTTGATGAATACAACTGACCATTGTATAAATGTTTGTTACAGATGGGAATTTTAAGACAACAAATTCCACCAATGATGTGCCTCTTAATGGTGTTATTTTACTCATATTACGGTGAAGAGAATGTAGATATTGTGAAGTTTCATGTGGGAGTGATTGCAAGTGCTGTGACGATTGCCTTCTTTGCTGCTCCTCTAACTAAACTGGTTGGTTTTGTATAGTTCCTATCCCAGTGTTGTCTTTATTGTATTTACAAAACCCAAACCTAACAAGTCTTCTTTACTCATGTCTAGATGCATGTTATTCGCTTTAGAAGTGTGGAATGTCTACCATTTCCTATGATTGTTGCATCATTTGCTGTTTCTGCTCAATGGCTTTTGTACGGCATCATATTGCAAGACCCTTTCATAACGGTAACTATCATTCCTACCTTGATTTTCCTTCAAGTTCTTATGTACAATCTGGTAACATCTTCGAATTTTATTTCCAGCTACCAAATAGTCTTGGGTGCTTCTTGTCAAGTGTTCAGCTCACACTATTCCTTATCTACCCTGTGACATCTGATGGGACCAAATAGCTAAAGGAAGTTAAAGATGTTGATCTAATCCAGTGACTCTGGGCTGTTATTGTGATAAATTTCTCTACAGCCTGAACAGTATTTTCAAAATGAAGATGCAGAGAAATATTGGTGTGGTATATTTTTTCTTGCAGTATTCTTTTGCAACATTGCAGCATTTGCCATTTAGTATTTCATAATTGCTCATAAATTTTACATTTTTATTAGAAAGTCATGTTTTTAGATTTTTATGATGGTTTCAGAGAATAACTGCCTTCTCTTTTGTATTAAATGAATTTAAGCCATCATCTTTCAAATTATTTCTTCATTCATTACAATCAAGAAACAATCTAGTCCATCAACTCAGGTATATTAAAACCTTCTAAAAAAATATGGAAAGTGAGGAATGTTGTAAATTGTACATAAACAAAATCTAGTCATGTGGTTGCTACATCTTTCAGAATTTCAATTGTATTAACAAACACACACTCAGCTTTGGGCTGTTGTTAAGATCGTTTATGATTTATTTACAATATCTAACAATAAACAATTTGTTTTTCTTTGGTGGAGATTGGCCCACCATTGGTGAGTATTGACATGCTTCCTCTTGATTGTACTTTCTTGCCAACATTGAACCTATTCCATTTTATAGTTAGTTCAATTTTTATGAATAAATTGATTTAGAGTTTTGAAGGATCTATTTTCTGTTTATGTATCACTTCTAGGACACTAGTAAATTATTATGTCATCGAGCATAACTACTGGAGTTACAATTGTTTCTCTAACTCTTCTAATCTTAACCTGTCAGTTTCAGTAAATGGATCTGAATCTGACGCAAACTTCCTCTTATTCCTCAACATGATCAACTCCATATCTGGCACTGATTCTATTAAACTGGAACTCATATTCAGATCCCAATCATTTTCCTCTCTAAGAATGCAAAAATAAACAAGGAAAGCAAATATACTTAGTTTAACAATAATATGCTCAAACTCTGGCTTATTTGTACGCCCTGAGTTGACAGTATTATCTTCTGAGTTGAAGTTTGCTGCTTTACTGGACGTGAACGGAACTGGTTTCTCATCGATGGTTTCATCAGATTTCTTTGAAGACTGTTGATTCGAATAGGTGACTACCTGAGGCCTGTTAAAAACAAAATCAACAAGTTTATTTTATCATACAAGGATAAAGCACAGGTATAAATTTCCAATAAAACCTAAAATTAGGCACTGGCAGCTTCTAATGCAGCAAGACACAGGGGAGCAGACACATAAGTCTGTACAATCAGGCCTTTATAATTCTCCTGGTACAATTCACGACAATAAATCAAAACACGAAACTTTGCGAACGAAAAATGATTGCACGGACATTAGTACATAATTACATAAGACGTTCGAGTATGTTTTAAACGACGCAGCAGGTAGGGTTAAAGAAATCAAACTGACTTTTTCTAACAGCAACTCACCGAATATTGCACAACTGACTACGACGCAATAAATGGGACAGTATACGTTCGTTTTTTAGCAGAAAGCTTCGCGTTGCCATCGCAGTTATTTCCCTCGAACACCCTCTTTGACAAATCGCAAACAAGCAGACTGCTTGGTTTGTTGGTGTGTGACCGACTGCAAATAATGCGACTGCAAATGATTTTCTTTTTGAGAGGGTACCTAGATGGTTGTAGAGAGGGAGCTGACCACAAGCCGCAAATCCCCGCCTACCCGACCCCCCTCCCCACCCCATCCAATGGAAAGTGAGTGAGTGAGTGAGTCCAGTCCACGTCCCTTTTCGACTGTGTCGCTGTGATCGTGGTAAGAAAGGTTATTTAATTGTTTGATTGATGAATGACCGCGAGAAATGCCACTTATTCTTAGATGTTTCATCCATAAAGTCACTTGCCCTCACCCTAATTTGTTGGTGTCCTTTACTTCTCTATCACTGACGGTAACATATGATGACTGGTGGAGAAAGCATGCTTCTGCCGGCTATTAAAATTCTATTTTGGCTTAATTATTTTCACGAAGCACCGTTTAAGCAAATCGCTAACAGCATACGCTGGGACTCTCACACTAGCGTTTCTGCACTGTTCTCTAGACTTCCAAATTAATCCCATTTCCTTTTAGAGGTTATGTGACTACTTTGGTTATGTTGACGTTTTGCTTCCTGCAGAAATACTTAATTGTTTTGGTTTACTTTGTCATTTACAGCATTTAAAACCATTGTCAGTACTTCACCACTGAACTCGCAACTCAATTTTACTGCCCATACAGTCATAAGAGTTGTTCATCTCCCAGTCCATGATTAACATCTGTGTCAGCTGAAGTGTCTGTGCACCAGATTTAGATTAGTAATCCTCTTTTTCATGCCTCTTTCAGGGACGGCCTCATCATGTCGCGACGAAGGGCTACAGAAGAGTCCGACAAGTTGACTCGTATCGCCATTGTTAGCTCTGACAAATGCAAACCAAAAAGATGTCGCCAAGAGTGCAAAAAGTCATGTCCTGTCGTACGAATGGGTAAACTTTGCATAGAAGTGTCTGTCAATGATAAAATTGCTACTATATCAGAAGAGTTGTGCATTGGCTGTGGTATTTGTGTCAAGGTGTGTGAAATTTTCTGTATTTGACAGTTAACTGTTGACTGCTACATTACAATGCAACAATGTGATTCCTCCTTTATTTGTTTCAGAAATGTCCATTTGAAGCTGTGAATATCATCAATCTCCCAAGTAATCTAGAGAGAGACACAACTCACCGCTATTCTGCAAATTCTTTTAAGCTGCATCGCTTGCCCATTCCTCGTCCGGGTGAAGTGCTTGGTTTGGTTGGAACCAATGGTATAGGCAAATCTACTGCACTGAAAATCCTTGCTGGAAAGCAGAAACCTAATTTAGGGCGATATGCTGTAAGTCAAAATATGTGATTTTTAAGAGCTATGGTATTGAACTGCTATTTATTACACTTATGTGTTTGTGCTTAGTCTCCTCCCGATTGGCAAGAGATTTTAAACCATTTCCGTGGATCTGAGCTGCAAAACTACTTCACTAAAATTTTGGAAGACAACCTTAAGGCTCTCATTAAACCTCAATATGTGGACCAAATCCCAAAAGCCATCAAGGGTACTGTGCAGGAACTTCTGGACAAGAAAGATGAGCGCAAAAATCAAAATGATATTTGTGATCTCTTGGGTAGGTTGCACAACTGGTACTTTTAAATTTTCTTTAAAACAAAAATTAAGATTTTTAACATACTCTTGTTTCTTTTTTTCTTGTTTCCTCTCATAAGATCTGCAAAAGATCCGCAGTCGCCAGATTGATGAATTGTCAGGAGGAGAATTGCAGCGATTTGCATGTGCCATGGTTTGCATTCAAGATGGAGACATATTTATGTTTGACGAGCCATCTTCTTACTTGGATGTGAAACAGCGGTTACGAGCTGCCGTTACTATTCGGTCTCTTATTCAAGCTGACAAGTAAGTATGGCTTCAGTATGTTTCCATCTGTAAAGTCAATGTCTACATTTGCTCTTTATTTTTTAAATTTTCTACCTGGAGAAAAGTTTGAATTGGTTTTGTATTTTTATTTGTTCAGGTTCATCATTGTGGTTGAGCATGACCTTTCTGTGTTGGATTATCTTTCTGATTTTATTTGTTGTCTGTATGGTGTTCCTGGAGGATATGGCGTGGTCACTATGCCTTTCTCTGTTCGAGAAGGTTGTATGAATATTCTAGTTTCTTTCTCTCTACTTTCATTTTCTTCTTTGCTTTACTGATCTTTTGATGTATTTCCATTATGCAGGTATTAACATTTTCCTTGACGGGTTTGTACCAACTGAAAATCTTCGTTTCCGGGAGGAATCTCTTGTATTCCGCGTTGCGGAATCGGCAACTGAAGAGGAGGTGAAGAGAATGAATCATTATGAGTATCCTCACATGTGCAAACAATTAGGAAATTTCAAAATGTCAGTGAACCAAGGACAGTTCACCGACTCTGAAATTCTGGTTCTACTTGGAGAAAATGGTACAGGCAAGACCACTTTCATTAGAATGCTTGCTGGAAAAATTAAACCAGATTCTGGTTCTGGAGAACTACCAGTTTTGCACATCAGTTACAAGCCTCAGAAGATTAGCCCAAAATCACAGGGCATCGTCCGCCAATTGCTGCATGAGAAGATTCGGGATGCTTACATTCATCCCCAAGTGAGTTTCGATTTTAAACTGTTGATGAAAGCCTGACATAAATTCCTTGCTTTTAAAATCTGTGTTCAATGACTTTAGTGCTAATAAGGTTCCATTGTCAGTTTATTACAGATGTGATGAAGCCAATGAAAATTGAAGACATCATGGATCAAGAAGTTCAGAACTTATCTGGAGGAGAACTTCAAAGAGTAGCCCTCACCCTCTGCTTGGGGCAGCCTGCTGACGTCTACCTTGTGGATGAGCCCTCTGCATATTTGGACTCAGAGCAGCGTCTTGTGGCAGCAAAGGTCATCAAAAGGTGTGGCAACGTTCTGTGAATGACTCTTGTGGTACCAAAAGTACTAAATGTTTCTAATGTCTTTTGTTCTTGCTATGTTTTTTGTTGCTATCTCGTGCAGGTTTATTCTGCATGCTAAGAAAACAGGATTTGTGGTTGAGCACGACTTCATTATGGCAACTTATTTGGCTGATCGGGTCATTGTATTTGAGGGATCCCCATCAGTTGATACTGTGGCACACAGTCCTCAATCTCTTCTGAATGGTATGAATCGCTTCTTGGAACTTTTGGGCATCACTTTCCGCCGAGATCCAAACAATTTCAGACCTCGCATCAACAAAAGCCAGTCTGTAAAGGTGAGTCTCAACTGTTCAATTACATTGTACAAAATAAAACCCCAATTGATTTGAAACATTTTCACAATGCTATTGTTTGATTTAGGATGTGGAGCAGAAACGGGCTGGACAGTACTTCTTCTTAGAAGAATAATCCCATGTGTAAGACCTTTTGCAAATTTTAAATGCTGTACCTGATCTTCATTCAGAAGTTGATCATGTTGTATTTCAGGAAAAGTCAAAATATGCTTTGTGTATAGTTCATTATTTCATAACTTCTAATTGGAATGAATTGGAAGTAATAAGCAAGTGACACGCCAACCATGTCAGTATGCAGCTCATGATGAAATTTGTAAAACAATGTAGTTGTTTATATTTTTTAAACAAAATCTAAATGGCCAGAAGACTCTATTTTATTGTAAACCAACTGTTCTTTCATTGTATCCATTCTGATTTACTCATTACGTTTTCTACATGGTAACATCAAAACTTTCTGCTGGTAACAGAAAACAAATCATTTGTTCAGATTTTCTTTCAATAAATGTTATGACTGGATCATATTTTACTGGATCTCTTCTCCAATTCCCCAGCCTCCTTCACACCTTGAATCCTGTGTGCCCACATGATCCAGACCCCTTTTCCACCTCTCAAGACACACCACAAACAAGGAAGTCTGAATAAGGGAAAAAAAAATCAATCAAAGAGATAAATTTTAAAAAATAATGTTTTATTTAATATAATACTTGACACTTGACATACAATTCAATCTAGTTATATGCATGTGGAGTAACAAAGTCTGTTCAGCTTTGGGTGGACATGACTAGACCCGACTTACGACCTAAACAACAAATCCACATGATTGGACTACAATTTTTATGTGAAATAGCAAAATAAATAAAACTACATAAAAAGTGCAAATACATTGAAGCATCCCGATATCATAGGAGAAAGGTATTCAAAAGAGTCAAAACATTTGACGAGCCTCCCTAAATTAGCAGGTTACGAATGAATTTACAGATGGAAACAATAGTCTTGAAAAGGCAAATAATGAGACAAATTTTGAAATTTCGCTACAGAAAAACCAATAAGATCAGTTTACTGCCACACAAGTATGAATAGTGGGAACTGTAACAAAACAAACAATGTTTGGAAAAGCAGGTCCAAGTTATTGCTGGGAAAAACTTGACTCTCAGAATTTTTGTAACAAACATTGTTTGTTTTCAATTATTGCTGGGAAAAACTCTAATTTCTGAATTTTGAAGTAAAAAGATTTAAAGAAATTGTTATCTTAAAAGTACAAAAGGAATGTCCATTCATACGAAAACACACAAAATGTCTCAGATTATGAGCTATGAGCAAAGAAGTACACGCACTGAACAGACGTTTCTAATTTTTCTCCAAACTAACACAAATACATTTTGTATAATAGAAAAAATACACTCCATTTCTCTGAAACAACTTTTACCTAACTCATGATTAAACAATACCTACATAATAATAAGATTTCTTGAATCACTGTTTCCAGAAGAAAGGGGAACAAATTAAATGTGAGCTGGTCTATCAAATGATTTGCACGTAAACTTGAGCAATACACAACAGTCACATTCATTTTCTCAAACATGTAACTCATCAAGAAATAAAAACAGAGTTACAGCATCATATATCTCCAAGGGACGAAAATGCAGTCTTTCATTTCAATAATAAACTACTACGGACAAGTACACCAGCATTTCACAGAAAACAACACATACATTACTCAGTACAATGAAGGTAATGTTGATCTTGAAATATGGCAGTGAGAGAAGTAAAAGGTTTTACTAACATGTTACATAGTTAGTTGGTAACAATAAAATTTCACTTAAAGCAGGGTACATTCATTCAATACAGATGAATATCAGTATCCCTTTGACGCCTACAAAACTCTTTTGGATAGGATGCAACTAAACATCTAATATGAGATGAAATTAGTACACATTAAATCAAAATAAATTATTGTAGAATAAAATACCAACCGTGTATTAGCTACCATGATGTTTCATCAGTCCAACAAATTCAGGCTCACATAACACATCCATTCCAGGATAAGGAAAGAAAACAAAAAAAGGGAGCACTGGATGAAACCTGAGCTCAATCTTGTGAACAGAAAACTACTTTGATTGGGCTGCCCACCATTTTGGCTTTCTTGATGCACAACTGAATTGGACAACCCTTTTATTAAATGATGCCAACAAACAAACTAAAAACATGCCAGCTCAAACTTCCTGTTGATCAGTGGGAAAGCTGGTTTGGGGAAATACTAATTTGAACTGTTCAATATCCATGGAGGGCCTTCCACTTTGATCAGGACAGATGTTAATAACAAGCTCTGTATCAAGGCACATTCACACTGAACACTCAGCTCTGAATGAGCTGACTCGAACTTATACTTCATGTATGAGTAACAAGAGTAACAATAAAAATACTCCTTGACTAGCAAAGAACATTTCAATGGTCTCATATTTTCTAAATGATTAAAGAATTACAATCAATTCTTAATTGAAATGATAGTGGAAGACAAAATCATAACAAATGAAGAAAATATCTTACTTTATTCATCAAATAGGAATTGAGGAATTTGGTGTTCTTCTAGGAATTGTGTCACAACCAATGAACAAGATGAAAAATGGGAAGACTGGTAGGTATTTCATAATATTTTTACAGAAGGTTAGAAGATGTTCCGAAACTGTACAACTAAACAGAAGAAAAATGAGCAATTTAAGAACTCATTTCTGAATTAACATGAAAACATTACTTGTTCTTGAGTACTGTAAAGAGAAGAGTAATTCATCTTGACATGTAAAAGAAAAGAAACTAAATGGACAAACGAGACTTGTGACACACTTTCTTGTTGGACAGAACGACTAGACTAGCTATTATGCTCTAAACAAACAGCGAGGACTTACTCTAAAACCTAGGTAGTATCACTTAACACCAGAAAAACATTAGTAACATGAGGTTACAAAGTGTTGAGATAACAGTGCGTAATGTATAATGAAAAAATGCCCAAATTGTCAAACAAGGGAAGTATCAAGGAAGACTGTTTCAATGTCACTAGGCTTGCCAACGCACAACCATCCATTGTAACCCGTTTTAACATAAAGGTATGTTGAAAAAAAAATTGTTCATTGCTTGAAGCAGCCATTTTTTAAAATATAAATAGAAAGGTTGATTACAATCAAGAAATGAGACCAAATGCAAGATATTAATTCAAGTTATTTTTACACCATTTGTCTCAATAGTATGAAAGCAGTCTTACAAGAAGTTGCATCAGGTGTCAAAATTAATTTAGGTGGGAATAAAGACCCATACTTTAAGGGGCAGGCACAAAAAACAACTGCTAGACAACCATGCTGGTTGAAAATTAAGTACTGGACACAACAGATTGGATCCTAAAGGGATGATGAACGTTTCACCCGTGCATGCCAGACTGGAAAAGTCAAAAACAGAACACTTTTGAAAATGAAGAATTCAAACCAAGAAGTACTTCATTATTTCTTTTCTAAAAAATGATGTGTTTAGAAAGGCATTGTTTCAATCTTGCACAAACAGAATGTTATCATAAAACACACAAATACACACACAATCACACAAAAAAATGAAAAGAAAAACAACATTTTAACAGATATTGCTTACTCCTGATACACATGACTGAGGTACACAAGTAATATAAATACTGCAGTGATCCACATAAAAAGAAAAAGGATATAATAGACTATTAAACATACAAATAGGTAATACATTCAAATTAAACCATAAATACTCTAAATTCTCTATGATTTTTTGTCGAAAAGGGGAAGCTTAGACTTAACAGCACCTTCACAAACAATCAGTCTTTGACTGGCACAGCGCTTGGCCCCGTGATGCCTAGATAGGGGCACTGGTGGAGGGCTAGCTGCCATTACACCTTTGGAACAACTTGTCTGGCCTAAAGATTTCCGTAAGAAGGCTATGTCTGATGAACGAATTGCATCACATATGGAGTATGTATTTTCATGAGGATTTAATGAAAATCGCCGTGTTGAAGCCGATATCTAGAAAAAGATTATCAAACGATGTGAAATTGAAGGTTTTTGCAACATAGATGAGATGATATAATAAGACATTTAGAAAGGAAGGTTCAATGTACCTGAGGCTGCAATTTGGCTGATGGTCTCCTAGATCCAGGTCCAGGACCGGAGGACGGGTTACTATTTTGCTTCCGCTCAAAGTATTCTACAATCTTGCTAATTTGCTGTGAAGCCTAGAACAGAGGCAATAGATTAAGATAAGATAATTTTTAAAAAAAATAGCTTGAGATAAAAACGTCTTGGTCAGGTTTTCACAGCATAATTTTAACTGCAAGACTAAAAAGAGACTATGTTTACCGGGTTTGCGGTGAAGCCTCTCTCTTCCCAATAGGCAGGATCGCCCCCTAGGCTTGAGACATCTTCAGAACTGTCAGTATAAATAGAAGATGATCTTTTGGCAGAGAAGAGTAGAGAATGGTGTCGTGTACTTAAGCCACAACTACTAGAACCTGAAACACCAAATATGAGACAACCACTCAGTTCACGAATGTGCTAGAAAAATACGAGTAAGTAAATGAGTTTGTTGGACACTTTACCATTTGGTGCCAAGTCATCCAAATCTGCTAACTCTCCAGACGACACGGTGGTTGTGGAAACTGCGGAATCATCGAGCAGAAACAGAGACGAAGCTGCTGATGAGGAGCACAGAGTGTGACGGGCAGGCCCTGAGCAAAAGTCAGATGGTGACAGTGGGTCGCATCCTGCGAATCAGAGACGAAATGCCAATTAAAAAGTCACAACAACACGAAAAGCGCGTCGAACCTCAAATCGGTACCTAGTAAGCCATAGTCTTCCCCGAGGCAGCTGAAGAAGCCAGATTCACAGGAACCACGACGGCGCAGCGCAACGGACGGCAAGCCGCCCAGGACGGCGCCGGTGGCCGCGTCGTCCTCGGAGAGCAGCAGGCTGTTGAGGTTGGACGATGACGATGACAACCGCCGCTGCAGTGGCGCAGGGCCCAGCCCACCAAGCCCGCCCAGCCGCGCTTCCACGGCCAGCGCCTTGGCGTCCGGCCTCAAGTCCAGCACCTCCAGGGCGGACGAGTGGCCGGAGAACACGCCGTCCTCCTCGACGCCATGCACGCCGTGCACTCGGCAGGCCTTGGGCCTGGGGCTCAGGCTCAGACCGCCGCAGCCCGTCCTCCCCTGCGTCTGCGTCTCCAGCAGGCGCTGCGTCAGCACCTTGGGGTTGATGGCTGTGCCGGCCGCGCCCGTCCACACAGTGGGCCGCCGCCGCACGAAGGTGGGCGAGGACGGCAGCGACAGGCTGTGGTGCCAGGACTTCTTCTGCGGCCCCTGCACGTCCTCGTCAGCCACACCGTCGAGAGTGGCCTCCGCTTCCTGGGCGGGCGTCACCCCTTCCGAGGCGTCGCTCCGGCGGTCCTCTTTGGACTCCAGCCGCTCGCCGATCTCGGCCTGCTTGGCCTTGGCGCCCGCCTTGGCGCCGCATCCCTCGTTGGCCTCGCTGTCCATCTTGAGGTAGTCGTCGGCCGCCCGGTTCTGCGGCGAGAATATCGAGCCCTGGATCAGCCCGTCGTCCTGCCGGGGCTGCTGCACCACGCTCGAGGGGCTCTCAGCGCCGCCGGGGCCCGACTCGGCCTGCTCCGCCTCCACCTCGCTCTTGAGCCGCCACCGCGACCCCACCTTGCACCACAGGTCCTGGCCCGCGTTCACCACGGGCGGCACGCACTCCGGGGCCGGCCTCGAGGCCGCCGTCGTCCCCAGCAGGTCGGCCGAGGGCACTGTGAAGGGCGGCCCGCCGCCGGCACCGCCGCCAGGCCCCAGCGACAGCTTGCGGGGGGCCCTCTTGATGGTGTCCGCGGTGTAGGGCCGCGCCGTGGACGTCGAGGACAGCGACGAGCAGTCGTGCGAGGCGCGGCGTGGCGCGGCGCCGCCCTCCGCGAACGGCGGGCTGAGCTGCGTGGGGCTGAAGAACGGCGACGGCAGCTCGAAGCACGACGAGAACAGGTCGCCGCTGCACGCCAAGTCCCCCACGCCCAAGGCCGCCGCGCTGCCCACGGCCGCCGACTTGTCGCCGAGGATCTTCTTGACGCCGCGGAAGTGCGACAGCGCCGCGAACGGGTTGAGCCGCTCGGCGCCCTCCTCGGCGGGCAGGTAGTGCGGGTCCTCGCGGCACATGCTCTCGCCCACGTGCTTGGCCGTGATGCGCGACGTGCCGCCCGGGTTGGCCGCCGCGCCCGCCGAGGCCGCGGCCCCCATGAAGTGGCAGCGCGCCTTCTCGCTGGGCGACGTGTGCGCCGGGAACGCCACCATGAGCCCCACGTCCTCGGACAGCGACCGCCGGTGGCTCACTGCAACACAGACAGGGAGGGTCACGCTCGCAGCTCTCGCCAGTCGTCGCAGCCAGACCGCGCCATACTCACGCTTCTTGTGGCGGTTGATGCTCTTGCCGTCGTCCGGGGTGGCGATGCTGGGGATCACCTCGACGGACCTCGCGGCCAGGGACGAGCTGGCCAGGTTGGCGAGGCACGCCTCCGAGATGGCGCCCTTGGTCTTGGCCGCCGCCGTCGACGTCGCCGAGCCCGCGGCGCCTTCCAGCGACGCCGCCGCCGCGCTGGGGTACTCGGCGTACTCGGGGGAGCTCTTGCCGCGCAGCATGGCCTCCAGCTTGCGGACGATCTCCGAGAAGGAGGGCCGGCTCTTGGGCTCGAACTGCGGGCCGCGGGGCAGAGGAAAGGAAAGCAAGCGTAAGAAGTGCGAACCAGACTCGCCCATTCACCGATCCCATTCCGATCCGAAAGGGCCGTTAAACCGACGCAGACAGGCATCCGGAACGGAGCCGTCGGCCACGTCCGCCGTCGCGAAAATGAAAATGCGTCGGAATCGGGAATGGCGGTCCAGGGCGCGCAGCGCAGGGCGCCCCGGGGCAGAACAGACAGAGAAGCGGAGCACCCCGCTTGGCGCTTGGCTTCCCCGGCGAGGGCGAAGTGGGGGTAAATGGTGGCGAAAGGCTGCAAGTGCTGCAGCAAGGGGGGCAAGGGGGGCAAGGGGACCACCGTAAGGCCGGGGCTGCGGGGCTGGCCGCCGGCCGGCCGGCCAGAGAGGCGCGCGCCCAACCAACTCACCGTGCAGCAGTGGAAGGCGAGCTTGAGGAAGTAGGGCGGGCAGGCCGCCGGACACAGCGGCGCGAAGGCCAAGTAGTCCAGGCCGAAGTTCTGCGTGCGCGGCAGCACGTCGGGGTCCGCCTCGACGCGCGCTATCAGCTCGCACAGCACGATGCCGTACGAGAACACGTCCGACTTCTCGTTGTACCACTGGCCCTTGAGGCACTCCGGCGACATCCAGTAGGGCGAGCCCACCGTCGGCAGCCGGTAGCCGCACCTGCGGAAGGAGGTTCGCGGTGAGAAGCCAGCCACACAAAGCGAATACACCTGACAAATTTAAAAATAAGTGAAAAGAAAAACATGGAAAATATTTTAAACGTAAAAGAAGTTTTAAGGGATGGGGGCTGGACGCATTGAGCCTCGCCAAACACAAAGCTATCTCAGCGCAACTTTTTTTTCTCCTTGGCGCGCGGTGTCGAATGGACGCGGCGCCAAAACGCGCCGCGGCAAAGCGAAGCAAAGCGAAGACCGGCGTCAGCGGCAGCAGCAGCAGCTCGTTGGCACGCGAACAATGGCCGCCGGCAAACACTACCACAACACACACTACTTACAGTGGGTCGGGAATTTTGGCGGCCAGTCCGAAGTCGGCGACCACCGCCGTCAGCTCGCCCGTCTCCTCGTTGCGCCGAATCAGGACGTTCTGTCAGACAGCCAAACACAGTTAGCGCCGAGCAGAAGAGCTCGTCTTCGAGACCGAGTCATCGCACAGTGGACCTGCCAGAAGACTTGGCCCACTGTGCGTCGGGCAAACACGAACCTTGGACGTGAGGTCGCGGTGGAAGACGCCCCGCGAGTGCAGGTACTCCATGCCGCGGGCGATGTCCAGGGACAGCTTCATGCGCACGGCGTAGGGCAGCTCCGTGCCGCGGGACTGCACCAGCTGCTCCAGGCTGCCGCCGTTCAGGTACTGCAACGCGAGCAAACCAGTCAGTCAGCGAGTCACAGGCAGGGCGGGACGGGGCGGACAAGGGGAAAAAACGCGCACTGGCCCGGCAACGGCCTTGGGTCCAATCAACGCACCCACTAGCATGCGCGTGGAATTCCCTGCCGCGAGTATCGCTGTTGGTTTTTTTTTCAGGCGATCCTCCTCATTTCCTTCCACGCCTACACCCTTAATTTAGCGCAAGTAAAATTCTCTGTGGGCAGCTTCCGAAAGTCGTTTTCGTCGCTCTGTCTCTCTCGCACCTACACGGGACGCCCCGCGAGTGCGAGAGAGAAACAGAGCGACGAACACGGAATCGGTCTGCTGGACACTGAGACTCTCTTTACTCACCTCAGTCAGCGCATGCAGTTGGCCCTCGTGCACACACACGCCCATGAACCTGCAAAGAAAACGACGACTTATATAAAACAGACGAATAAACCACAAACACTTCGGCCTTCTGCACACCAATACGCGGACGTGCGAAGGTGCCCGACACGCGGCCAAACGCGTTGCGTCACGCCACGTCACGCCAAGTCACACGACACGGCGCGGCGTGTCACGAGGCGTGTCACGCCGTGACGGACCGGGGTCAACGCGGCGCGTGTGCGCGCGAACACAGCACGGCGCGTCGTGCACACGCCCACGCCCCCCCCCGCCACGCCGCCAAAAAGCACACCAAGAGAGGACGAAGGGGAGGACCCACCGGCGCCATCATCATCATAAATTTGCAAGTCATCCGAAAAAAAAAAATAAAAGCAACGCAATTTGCATAGGAAACAATAGGGCGGATGAACAAAAACAGGGTGTCCCCTTTTCAAACCAAATAGAACAGCAAATATTCATGAGTGGGGGTGTCTGGGAGACGCCCTGCGGGCCTGCGGGGCGGACGAGGATGAACTACACGCAGACGGCTGACCAGTACCAGTGTACTAGCCCCCCCTCTTTTCCCGCGGATTTATTAAGGGCGGTCCATCCTTTCGGTAATCAACCTCTCTCCGACTGAGCGGATGAGTGGAGCACGGTGTACGACGGCGCGAGGCGGCGCGGACTTTGGCGCGCCGTTCCCCTTCACCTCCCCGCACGCCGCGGCGCCGCGGCCATCTCCAACGCCGCCAACCAGTGCGGGCTTTCCTTTTATTCAAGCGGCCCACTGTGGGCCGCCAGGCTCACTCCGACGTGTGCGGTTTCGGACGGCTCCGTCTCTCTCGCACTCACAGGGGCGATCCGTGGGGGTGCGAGAGAGACAGAGCGCGCGTCGCGGCACGACTGCGCGGAATCGCTCTCTGCAGGAGGAGGACGACGCGAGTAGTCCGCGGCGGCCGCGACGTGGCGGCGTGTGGGGCTCCCCTGAAATAGCGAAGCACTGCCGAGCACGCCCCGCCCCGCCCCGCCCCGCCCCGCCCCGCCCGGCGCGGTGCAGCGGACGCGCGCGCACAACACATCTATCTGACCATGACCGCCGCGCGCGCGCCTCGAATAAGATGGACGGACGCAAGTTCAACGCCACCCCTCCCCCTCCCCCCGAGTGAGTCATTTCGTCACTCCGGCGCAGTGTACACACACTCCGCGTGCAATTTTTAGAAAACACTTCGACGACGCTTCCCTGCCGACGAACGCAGAGCGACGGCGACGCCGCCATGGTGGCGAAATGGCGGAAAGGAGGAAAAAAGTGCAGCCAGCGTTTCTGCCGCGCGGCGAACGCAAAACACAGAGCTCAAAACGCGTCTAGAGTTTCGTCCACCTCCACCGGTCTTCTGGCCCACTGTGCGGGCCGGGTCCCGGTCGCCTCGCGACTCGCCATGCAGACGCACGCAGCAAGGCGCTGCATTGCTGCATTGCAGATCTGCGGGCGGCGGCCGTTCGTTCGCACGGCTGCATCGCATTCGGCTCATGCCTGCGTGGGGTGACAAACAAGGGCCCAAGGACCACACACACACTCACTTACACACACACACATTCACACACACACACAAGCTCACACACGTACGATGCAAGCGACTTGTCGCGTCGCGCCAGACCAGCCAGACCGCCCGGCCAGGGCCAGACAGTCCCCGCAAAAAGGCCAACACTTGATAGGTGCTGGCCGTGCCTGTGCCTGCCTGGTGGTATGGCGGAGTCTGGAGCGGCGCGGTGCTTGAAAGGCCGTTGCAAACGAGAGGGTGTTGCCGTCCGACACCCATGGACCGCTTTCTAGCGGCTCAATGGGGAACGGCGTGGAGCTCCGAGCGTCGTCCGAGCGCCTGCAAGGTAGGCAGTCCGGACCGGCCCGCCGCGCGGCCGTGCTCGGCGGTGCTGCCTACCCGGGCTTCGTAAGGCGCTCCCCTCCTCGACGCACAGCGGGCCAGAGGACGTGCTTTGAGCAGCAGAGTCGCTAAATGGGACTCGAACCGAACGAGTGACCCCACCAATGGATTCCTCGTTCGGAGAGCAATCCATTGATGGGGCCACACGTTCGGTTCGAGTCCCATTTGGCGACTCTGGAGCTCCAAAACGCGTCCGGGGCTTTGACCGCCTCCACCGGTCTTCTGGCCCACTGCGCGAAGCCCGGCGGCGCGGCGGCACGCGGAGGCGGTCGAGGCGCGCGTTGCGGCACCGCAATTGGACTCCGAAGTGTCCTACATGGCATGACTGATGAGCCTGCCGGTGCATCATCGGTGTCGCAAGGCGCGCGGCCCGCGAGGCCCCGAGGGAGGCTGCAGGGAAGGGTCGACCGCAAAGGCACCGCCAGCATGCGGGTGTGGTGCCCCAGAGCCAAGCCAGGGGCAAGCCAGGGGCAAGCCAGGGGGCTCCCACCGGGCACCCGCAGGGCTGCCGCAGGGCCGCTGCGCAAACACACCGTAAAGGTGCCCTAAGGTCGCCTCGTCGTGCCCTGGCCGGGCCCTAGCCACTCGAGCGACGTCGCCGCGCCAAGACGCGCCCCGCCCCGCCATCCACAGACATGGCGTCGCCATTAGAGCCAATTTCAGATTGCTTTTCAATAGCCCCCCCCCTCTCCCGCCACCGCGGTGCCGCGGTACGACGGGGCTCATCAGAATACAGCCGCGACCCCAGTCTGGCCCCTGCCTGCTGGCCCCGGCCTCCGAGCGATTGCAGCAGCAGCCGCCGCTCATCACCGAGCACGCCGTGCAGGCCGTGCAGGCCGTGCAGGCCGAGCACCGCGTCGACGGGCACGCCGGCCACTCAATCAAGCCGGCTACCGTGCAGCCTTGGAGTCCGGCGGAGCCTAGTCACTCACCTCAGGATGTTGGGATGGCTCATCTGGTTCATGAGCTGCACCTCCTTGAGCATGTTGGGCCGGTTGGAGCGCAGCAGGTTCTTCTTCAGCACCATCACCTGGCCCGTCGTCCGGTGCGTCACCTGCACACACACAAACAAGTCGTGTCACTAAAAGGCAGGATCAGGCGCGCGCACACAGACGCACACACACACACACACGAAGGTCGCGGGGCCCAAAGCAGGACCAAAGCAACGCGGCGCACTTAGGCGGGCTGCCCGGGCGCAAGGGCCAAGCCGGCCAAGCCGGCCAAGCTTCCATACGGGGATGTGGGCCGCGTCCGCCGCGTCCTTGTGCCCCCAAACCGGTCAACGGCCGACTACGGCCAAAACAACGCCCCAAACGCGGCCAAAACACTGGCCGCCACTCAACCACCGACGGCCGCGCCAACGGCCAGGGCTGCGCGTCGGGTGCGGTGACGTCACGTTGTTTGAGTGACGCGACGCGACGCGGTGCGCCCTTGGCTGGCGACGGCAACAGGCGGACACTACACTGTCTGCATGTAGAATGGAGCCGCGCCGCCAGGCCACGCACCGCGCACCCATGCATCACGCACGCACACAAACACACCGAGTGTGACTCACGCTCGCGAGCAGCGGGGTAACAACCCACAGGCCACATCCTCCTGGACGGGCCCGTCGGGCAGTTCACACTAGCTGCATGCCATCGGGTGCAGCGCAGAGCAGCACTGAGTCGATTTCGTCGCTCCGTCTCTCGCGCACTCATAGGGCGTCCCGTATAGGTGCGAGAGAGAGACAGAGCGACGAAAACGACTCTCGGAGTCGGTCTACACTGTGCCGGCCGAGACTTCGCGCTCCGCCACAATAAAATGGTCCGCCATTTTTATGACGCGTTGATCGCGGCGAGCAGACACCAAATAAAAACAACTCGAATAAAAAGCAAGAAGAAGGGCGACGCGACGACGACGGCGGAGGCAGTGCCCGATGCGCTTTCGTCTCCGAGCGCAGCGCACTTGGAGCAGGCCGCCAAGTTGAGCAACGGCCCGCTCTTCAGGTCCCCGTCGTGGAGGAGGCCGAGGAGGCGCGAGCCGCGAGCACACGGCACGGGGCGGGGCGGCCCACGCAGCGCCGCAGCGCCGCGGCCCACGTGGGATGGCCGATGGCCGATGGGTCGGCCCGACGCCAAGCGCCGAGCGTGCGCCGAGCCGCGGCACCGCCGTCAATTTAAACTTGCCCAACGCGGCCGGGACGCCGCGACGGCCAGGTCAACGACGCGCCGGCAAACACACGGACGCACCGGCTGCACCGCGTGCAAGGCGTGCACCGCCTGCACCGGGGGCAGCAAGGAAAGAGGGGGCGGGACGAGGCGGTGTTCTCTCTCACTCTATCCCAGCGTTTCTCAACCTTTTTCGGTTCGCGACCCCATGTTTTTAGCAAAAAATTTCCGCGACCCCCAGGAAAAATTTCGCGACCCCACGCGACCCCTCCTTTAGCATGCCTTTGATACAAAGTGCGATAATCCACCTTAGTTTGGAAGCAGTACTGCAGCAAACATGATCAAAACGGTCACAAATGTCTTTGAAAAATCGTGTTTTGGGCCGACTTTAAGCAGCCACTGCGTCTAATCCGAGGCGGTATGTCGTCCTCCCTCAACGGGCAATTGGTCTTTGGGCCTTCCTTTAGCATGCCTTTGTTACGGAGTGCGATTATCTGCCTTAGTTTGGGAGCAGTACTGCCGCAAAGTTGATCAAAACGGTCACAAATGTCTGAAAACACGTGGGTTGATCAACTTTGCGGCAATACTGCTCCCAAACTAAGGCAGATAATCGCACTCCGCAACAAAGGCATGCTAAAGGAAGGTCCAAAGACCAATTGCCCGTTGAGGGAGGACAAGATACCGCCTCGGATCAGACGCAGTGGATGCTTAAAGTCGGCCCAAAACACGATTTTTTAAAGACATTTGTAAACGTTTCGATCAACTTTGCGGCAATGCTGCTCCCAAACTAAGGCAGATAATCGCACTCCGTAACAAAGGCATGCTAAAGGAAGGCCCAAAGACCAATTGCCCGTTGAGGGAGGACGACATACCGCCTCGGATCAGACGCAGTGGATGCTTAAAGTCGGTCCAAAACACGATTTTTTAAAGACATTTGTGACCGTTTTGATCAGCTTTGTGGCAGTACTGCTCTCAAACTAAGGCAGATAGAGTCTATCCTCTGGATCACTCTCTATCCTCTCTATCACACTCTACCCTCTGCATCTCTCTCTACCCACACTGTTTCACGTATTGACGATCGGGCCGTGACCGAAAGAGTCCGCGGAAAGGTCAGGCGCGGAAATTTCGCAGCAGCCGCATTGTTTTGTTTGGGCGAGCGAGGAACGAAACGCGACAAAACAAAAATAAAAACCCGGCGCCGTTCCGGTCGCCTTTCCGAGTCCGAGGCGGTCGCTGCGGAGGGAGGGCGACCCGGGACCCGCGAGGCGACCGCGCGGACCATGCACGACGAGGAAACGATTTCCATGGCAAACTATGACGGCGCGTGACGGCGCCCTCCACCGGCACGGCGCCCAGCAACGTTGTCCAGCACAGCGTCCAGCCATGTTGTCCAGCAATGTTGTCCAGCAATGTTGTCCAGCCATGGTGTCCAGCCATGGTGTCCAGCCATGTTGTCCGGCAGCGTTGTCCAGCAGTGTTGTCCAGCAACGTTGTCCTGCACGGCGACCAGCCATGTTGTCCAGCAGTGTTGTCCAGCCATGTTGTCCAGCAGTGTTGTCCAGCCATGTTGTCCAGCAACAAACAGTGCTGTTCAGCACGTTGTCAAGCCATGCTGTCCTGCCCCGCTTCGAGTCACGGCGCCGGTCCCGCGTGGCGCGGCGTGGCGCGGCGTTACGACATCCGGCCCATCGACACACCGACACACCGCACCGATCGGCGTCCTTGCGAGGGCCGCCGAGGGCGTGGGCGGCGCAGCGGGGCGCCTGCAGTGTAGGCAGCCTCGAGCACGAGAGAGACCTCTCCGAACGAGTAACGCCTTTTCCGCCGGCCCAGTGTGGCAGCAGTCGCACGGCACGCGGGGCGGACAGTCCGCGGACACGCCACGGGCCATGAGAGGCCGTACAGGTGTGTGGGAGATTTGGCTTTCGGGGGCTTCCCCCCTCCCCGGCCAGCCGCAAGCATGCCGTCACAGCGGGCAATCAATCATCGGCGGGCCCTACTAGCCAGCGAAGCCAGCGGGGCAAGGAATTGCCATAAATTATCTCTATGAGCCGACGCACGCCCGACCCAACCAAAAATGTGAGAATTTTCAGTTTCCCTCGGAGGCGGCGTGAGAGCGCCGGGAATGGAGCGAGCCGTCGTTATGCTAAATCCGCGCTCCATTTGCCCCGAAATCTCTTTCTCCCTCTCACACTCGGGCGAGCAGGCAAACTCCACGCGCTTCCCACGGAACCACCGGCATCGTCCTTCGCTTCCGACAGTGTACTCGTCCGTCGCCAAGGCCGCGGCCTACATGGCGTCGCCGCGGCGTCGCCCAGATCGGCGCGCACACGTCTAATTGGATTACAAACACGCCGACGGGGAATGAAAACACAGCGGCGGGGGCGCGCCGTCTCTCTCGCCGTCGCGACGCGGCGTCCCGTAGGTGCGAGAGAGCGACGGCGCGACGAAAACGACTCCCAGCCTGCAGCAGCCTCAAGCTCGCTCAAGCTGAGCGTCACGACGGGGACGGGGGGTCGACGACGCCGCGCCGAACCCCCTCGCCGCCGGGCCGCCATGCGCGTCTGTTGACAAACGGGGAGCATCCAACAAACCTGACTCTTCGAAGCTCCATCCATTCTGCCGCATTCTGCCGCGGAACGAACCAGCGACCTGCGCGGCGCACGCACGTCTCGCCTAACTCGGCGGCGCGGCAGAGCGGCGTTCCCCTTGGCCGCGTCGCCGCCGCGCCCAACGCGCCAAATTACCCGCCAAATTACGCACGCGGTCGCGCCATTCCAGCACACTGGATGTCTGTCTCCCTCGCACCTACACGGGACGCCCCGAGAGGGCGACAGAGGCGGAGCGACGACTCTCGGAATCAGTCCGCAGCTCAAGGAGCACACGACGACGACGGCGGCGACGGCGGCGAGCCCTAGAAGCACCGCGTCGACGCCGAGGTGCACTTGCCCCGGATTCGAGGAGAGGTCGCACCGCACCGCGCGATCCGCCGCATCTCAAACAGACGTGACGAGTCGAGACGAGCGGCGGCATCAGCAGGTCCGTTCCGAACGGCGCTCCCTCCGTCTCCCTCGCGCTCGTGGGGCGCGCGGCGCCCCGCCGGGGCCCCGCCGGGGGCGCGAGAGAGACGGCGAGAGACCGTGGCGTCATTCTCGCGCGACTCCATTAGCAGTGCGGTGGCTGGCTGCCGCTGGCTGCAGCTGGCCCACTTGGAGAGGGAAATGCAAGGGAAGGGCCGCCGCCACTGCCGCGGGTTGAAGGACACGTCGGCCCGTCAGGACACTGTCAGGACGATGAAAGCGATCCGCAGTGAGAGTCCTTCTCCGGGGCTCGGCCTCCGGGACCAGGAGGAAGGGGGCGGGGAGGACGAGGACGGACGAGCGCGGTGGCATTCCGGCACTCGGAAACGGAACCAGCGGGCGGGGCAAAAAAAGCGCGCCGCGCGGAGGGTCACTGAGGTCGCCGTCAAGGACTCGGTGCACAAGGACGGCCGGTGCAGTGGACCCTGCTGCTGCAGTGGGCAGCACGCGGATTCGTTTTCACACGGTCCCTTTTCCTTCCCTTTCCTCTGGCGGTCCATAGCGGTTTCGGGAGCCGGGCCGCCAGTTCGCTGGAGGTCACCAGAGTGGAAACGGGTCCATGATGCACAGTTGTTGTGCGCTAGCTCATTGTGAGGGGCGGGGCGGGCAGAGCCCCGGGCGGGGCCGGCGGGGCGGGACAGGCGACGCAAACTGGGCCAACGACACCCGCCACGGGGCGCGAGGCAGGCAGGCAGACAGGCAGGCAGCAAGCTTCGTGTCGTGCGCACACTCCGCTCCGAAACGCGACCACGAACGACGACGACACATAACCTCCCCGGCCAAAAGTAATTAAAAGGCGCTGCTTTCACTGCATCGACCGGGACTAT